CCACCCAACGACGGCCAGGAGTCCAGCAATCCTCTTGCACATAATCATCCCTGCATGGGATTCGAACCTGCGAACCCACGCAGAGTAATTAGAGCTGCGGTGGCGAGCGTATTCCTAACGCCTCTACATCCAGTTGATGTTGTCCCAGCAAATCTTTTCGTCATTGCCAGCTCATCATTTGTCTCGATCCAAATCACCTGTAACAAAACAATGTCTCGTGTAAATATTCGTATTGTATTTTAGCTTCATATAAAAAACCTCGTCGGACATTTGTCTAGCTATATGTAAAAGACGGCGCCTCATATAAAAAACCTCGTCGGACAGACAGACAGCTAGACAAATGTCCGACGAGGTTTTTTATATGAGGCGCCGTCTTTTACATATAGCTAGACAAATGTCATTGTCAACATCAAGACGGTTTCTAGGTTTTGTGTTGAAGGTAATAATATCAGAAAAACCATAACCAGGCTTTTCCTCTGACAAAAACCCGAACTTGTCCAATATTGCTTACCTGTCAGTGTCAAATCTAACTTGGTTGGCAGCAAATAAATCGATGCCCACTTCTTCCACCGGTGAATGATTTTTGTCACGATGGTTTTGGAGTTTTGATTTATTGCTCGTTGCATACGAACAATGCAAGCATTGAGCACATTCTCTGCCATCTCGATTTACTTTGGTAAAGCCAACGTAACTGTCGTTTCATTCTCGTATTTTGGGCATTAGTGATTTACAAATGGGTTTTTGCGTCTATAATACGATAGCAACGGTTATCTCGCAGTCTCGTGGAACTGCCAGTCTGCAAAGTGGGCGGCCTACTGGGGAACTATTTTGATTGGTTGATTTCAAATTTCATTGTGATCAAACAATTCACGCTAAAGAACGTGGATACACCCTGTGATCGCAAATAACCTATTCAGGTAATGAAACTGCGATGAACTCCTAAACGTAAAATTTTATTTTAGAAGGAGCGTATGCAAACAATGTCGCTTTATGATCAATTATTAGTCTTGTGTCGTGGCTCTCTTCAAACTGCTCCGTGGCCCGCTTAGGGGACCACCGGCCGCGGTTGAAAACCACTAGTCTATACCATCCGTAATCTGCAATTTCTCAAATGATTGGCAGCTCGGATACGTAATTTTTCTCGCGTTTCAATCCCTCAACTAAATTAATACCTGTCGAATAATTTCCAGTCTTTCCCGCCCCACCACTAAAACAAAATATTATACATTATTGTATATATTGAAATTTGATCAAAACATTTTTGTAGATTGAGGATAATATTTAATTCAATTGTGTGATAGATTTTTAACTTGGTACTGTATAAACAATACACATAGTTTTTAATTCTAGGAATATTTTTGTGTTAAAAAAATTGTATGCACAAAGCATGTAAAAATGAAATACTGAAATACTAGATGTACCAATATCACTTTTGTCCCCGACACCGGTACCAACAAAATAGTACAGATCAACAATCATGTCTAGGAGACACTGAACACTGAAATAAAACTATGATATGGGAAAATGCGATACACATTTATTAATAATATAGGAATAGTAAATGGTTGCGTAACTGAGTTTTGAAAAATTGGATATGTTGAGTCTTTAATACTAAAACAGGGTGATCCAAACCCAGTCCCAGCGCCACATGTGGCCCGCCGCTTCATTATCTGTGGCCCGCGTCGCATTTGCGCGAGGGTAAACAAAAAATCGCATTTGATGTTGTTTCCTCATAAAAATAACCAGAAAAATATTTTAAAATATTGTTACATCAATAATGTCACTGAATTTACTAGTGTTATGGCTAGCTGAGGCATCTAGCAAAGTTGAATGATGTGCTTGGCAGTCTAAATTTTTATCTGGCTTTTTATTTTTTTGGTCGGGAATATAGGCTGACAAAATAGGCTTCATAGAAAACTAAAAATAGAATGAGGAATCTATTAGCCTAGATTGGCCATGCCTGATGACTAAATATTAATGTTATGGCCGAACGATACAATTCCCGCCGGGTGGTTTTTTGTAACCAGCCTAAACAGTATTACAAACAATGCTGCCTATATGTCCGAAAATTTAGTAATTAGGGTAATTACTGTATCGTAAATTTGGTAAAATTCGGTAATCAATCAATCTGCAGTTACTTGTAAGTTATTTTGTGAACATGAGTTTAAAAATAAAGCTGACCAATTGAAACATTTTGACTGGGTGTGGGAGGAAAAATATCACAATGCTTGCTTGATATGTCCGCAAGTTGTGTCGGTGACAATCTAATACGACACTTTCTCCTTATGATATCCTAATAAGAAAAGGTGTCGAAACTTCTTCCAAAACAGATTTATCGTTCGATGGAGTTGATTGAAAAAGAAGAGCCCATTTGCACAAATCCTCGAACTTAATGCTTGTTTGGTATTTGCAATCGGTTCAGAAAACATGATGAATATCGTGAAGAGACACTCCGAAACTTGTTACCTTTATAATGTTCCGCGGATTAGCACCTGCATAGGGTATTACTTCCACTGGTGCTAGAGTATCTGACACTATTGTTTATACTCACTTGACCACTGCTGGACCATTAACGACGTAACATCAAGTTGATAGGTGAAATTGAATTTAGTGGATGGGTCAAATAATTGTTACGAGAAAAGATTTTGTTAGAGACAGTTCAACATCTGATTTCAATCTTAAATCTCAAAGTAATATTACCAATCGGCACAATACTTGTCTCACATGCATGTTGCCTAACAGTCCTTGCAATATACAACCGCAAGACTGTTTGCCTTTTTCATCTGAAATCTAAAAAAAAATCGATTTCTGAAAGATTATATTTCCATGATTTGCGTAATCGCTATATTTGGATGCAGTTATAACTGTGGATAAAATTCTCGGTTTCAATTGTGGATTCAATTCCAAATTGTTTCGAATACATTAACCAAAAATAGGGCTAAAAACAATTTGATACCAATGGCAAAAGAAATTACCTTTAAAACAACATCTGAAATAAAGACACTCTGAAAACACTTTTTTCGCCGATTAAGCCAAAAGCCTAATTTATGTTAGAAGGAATCAATACAAGTAAATTGAAAACAGACATGTCATAGTAGTCGTTCGGAAAGGATTTTGAAAAAGTAGTCTAGAATGGAAATTCATAGTTATGTTGTATGTTATTATTTATTGCCAAAACCATTTTCACGTAATCTCAAGAGTTCTAATTTAGTATAATATATATACATGACAAAGCAGCACGCGTCTCATGATGACTGTAAAGAATAATATAATTGTTATAAAATAGTGGCTATTTCAATTTTCAATGTTTTAACTGTAAATTTCCTGTGTTATATTTTAAAACTGCTGTCAATAGGCAATAAATCATTTACTGTAGAACTCAATTACTCGTACACAGAGATCAAAATATTTTAATCAATCGTTCGCAATAACGCTTTCAAGTGTAAAGAAGAAATTTTGTGCATTGGGAAATAGTGAAACAAGGTATATGAATATGTAAAATGTTTGATAATGGTTGAAATATTTTTTTTTTGTAAATATTATCAAAAATTGAGAATTTAAATTGAACAGGTGCGAGAAAAGCCTTGAAAATAAAGAAATCAGAAACGATCATTTCGTTAAGTTCTAATTAACCTCTCATTGCGTGAGTGATGCTTGGAACCCCTATTCCAGTGGTCTACTACATTGGATCAAAAGTTCAATGAAATGCTTTGGTTTTCATGCCTCTAATTAGACATACTAAATAGCCATAAAAAAGGTTTATACGTTCTCATACAACATTAATGAGTAAAGAGTATTCGATTTTAATTCGTTTGGAGGACAATTATCTTTCAAACTCATTTGGAACCAGTAAAATATTATGTAGCGGTCTTATAGAGCAGGGCTACTCAACTATTTTTATCGAAGGTCCGCAAACAAAACTTCAAAATTATTTGGGTCCGGTCTTTCCAGAACTGATATTTCGGCATCCTCAAACGGGCATTTCCTCGACCGACTAATGATTAGTAGCCTATTAAAATTGTTTATTATGGTGTTATATTTCTTTTCCTATATATTCAAAACTATGAAAAGCATTTTATGATAGGAAATTCAAAAAGTGGGGCTAATGATCCAAAATAAATAATTAGGTGCGGTCCAAATCCAATACTCGAAAGGTCCGGATTCGGACCGCGGTCCGCCAGTTGGGTAGCCCTGTTATAGAGGTTCATCGGTAATTCATATAGCATACAAGCGAATTTGTGTTCGCAAGTAATTTTCATAAGATCCAGTACACCAAGTAAATGTCGTTATAAAAGGGTTGCATGAGTAATGTTCAATACGACAGAACAGAAATCTAGGATTATAATACTTGAGGAAAGGAAACAAAAGCATATTTCTATTAAATGAATATCTGTTACTCACGTTGCCCAGAAGTACTAGCAGAAATTTATTTCAATGAACAAAATCAAAATCTGCATATATTTTATTAATATTTGTTATCATTTATTTTGATCACAAAAATTATAGGCAATGCTAATATAAGATATACGTATGGTTAGGAAATGCAAAGTTTACTTCTATGCGGCTTTTTCAAAATATGTACTAAAATAGTATATCCCATAAATCCTTTGTGAAAAATCGCAACTTTTGTCCAGTATTAAACAAGTTTACTGATCAATTTTTAGAAATAATAATCACACTTTTATTTTATATACATTTACCATCAGACAAAATAGTTCAAAATGCATGGATTTATATTCATAATATATATCAACTAATATAACGAATTATAATCTTCCGAATAAAAATGGCAAAGGTTAAAATAGAATTCTTGAACTTAAATTAGGACTTGGCATTGAATAACACCAGTAAAATAAGTACAATCCAACAAGGACACTTAAAGTTTGGACTAAGGTATATCTCTTAACTCTCGAGGCAAAGTTGTTAAACACAGTCTAATGTCATATGACGATTTATTACAGACTCAAATTCTGGGTTCTCAATATATTCTTGTATATTTATAAATACTAACACTTTTTCTAGTGCATGTTGAATCATATTTAAAATAAAATTTCTTCACAAACAATGTTGCCTCGCAATCTATCACATCCCTTTCATTGCGGATTTCTTCTTCTGAAGATGTTGCTGATTGATTTTTCTTTAAACAAAAACAAACGTTAGACATATATTGCATGTAAATGAAATATAAATTGTTGAAGCTATGAAAAATCAAAACATATCTGAGGAACTGTAATGCGCCTTTGCGATTTATGTTTGGCCGGGAAAATTGAAACCGGGTTATTTAGTTTTTGCTCTCAACATTTATGAGAACTTCTAATGAAAAGCCCCAGGTGAGCAACCAATTACATTGGCAACAATACAAAATTGTGTACTCCCGAAATATGTGTACCAGGTTAGGATTGGGCGGCAATTTTTATTCCGATTTTCCTTATTTTAATTTATTTACGAGTTCGGGGATTGTCTGTATTAGCCATTTATTTTTTTAATTTTGTATTTGTGAAAATGGGGAGATTCTAATTTGGGTTTCTAATTGTGTTTTTGTGGGAAATTGTGACATAGAACAGTAACATAGCAAGTTCAGTATAACAGAATTTGGAGCTTTTTCTTGTGACTTTGATATTTCCAGGGATGTATTCGTTATATTTTGTGTAAGAAATATTTAGGAAATTAAGACAAACGCATGTTGAATAATTTTTTAGTAGTCATAATGACTTGAATAAATCCTAAATCATTAAAAAAAAAAAAAATTTCTTCCGGGGTTCGCAACTATAGTCCAAGTCTATTTTTTGAATAGTCGATATAAATAGTCGCCCATTGTTCAATCATTGTCCTGTAACTCATTATTTTACATAGATTTTTCACATGGAATACAAGAAAAACATTTTTGGAAACATCGGAAGCACAAAAAATAGCATTAACTTGTTTGAATAATATATAATATAATATTAAGTTTTATGCTGTTTCATATTACAATTTCCCCCAAAAAATTGATTTTGGGAAATTACCCACTTTCACAAAACTAAAGTTTAAAAACAATATTTTTGGTTTTTCTTACATTTTCGGGCGAAACCAATTAGGGAATAATCATAATTAGAAGTTAAGAACAAACATTGTGGTAGACAGTGTTTTCATTGGTAAATAAGTTGACCATAATTATAATTCATGTAGAATCTGTGTAAAAACGGTTGAACTTCGGATTCTAAAATGACTTCTTTAATTGAATATTACTAGATAGTAACTACTTTCACTCGGTCTTATTGGTTAGACTTACTTATGCGTTGAATTTGTGAAGGCCGGACAGGTGCTGATTGACAACGATCCTTAGAGCGAATTATCAGCTGAAAAAATAAAGAAAAAGGCTTAATAATATTTTTTGGAATATTAGTATTGCATTGAAGTTTCAATACAAATCATAAAAAATCATTTCATTAACTTTAAATTCAAGCTTGTTTTATAAGCGACGTGCTTAAAATTAAATTCTTGTGACTCCTCTTTTCAGTGCGAGTTTTAAAACGAAGGTATACAGATATACATTTAAGATCAGCTATTAAATGCTTAAAATTTTAGAGCAAATTAAATAGAATGGAATCGATGTATAAAAATTATGCCTGGTCCTCGTTTATCTGAACATGTCTTAACTCAAAAGGTTTCGTTAAACTCACTTCGTTGTTTAATGGTATCTCGTCCGATTGAATCGCATCGACACTGGATTGGTCAATTTCCCATCCGTCAGGAAATAATCTTTCTCCCACAATACTAAACAGCTGGAAGAGGTTTTTTGCTATATTTTGGGATGGCTCGTTTTCCTCTTCCAGAATGAGTTTCCGGATCTGCATAATTTGATATTGACATGACAGTACGTATAAAAACAAAGAAAAATAGATTCCGTATCTAAAATATCAATATATATATATATATTGAAAAATGAATCGCAAAAACTGTATGTGATTATTTATTTATACATTTATTTTATGTGAATAATGTTTCATTTGGGTTGCTTTTGAATATTGGTTCAAATTTGATAATAGTATATAATCGAATGAAGCTAACTTGATTAAAAAAATATTTCCATTTCATTATATGTTTGTCTAACTTTATATATATGTCGGGGTATTTAGGGCATTCCTAGAACTAGAACCCAAGTTTAGCTTGGTCTATTCGCCTAGTTCGGAATACTACAGAAAAATATAATAAAATACACGTGAGAAGGTGACACAGATATGTAATACGTAAATTTGAAAGTTTTAAACACCATAATACACCAGCCGAAATTTAAACCGAAACCGTTAGTATTGGATTATAAATTCATTAAATGAAATATTTCTAAGACAATTTCCGCATACAAGATTATAAATACTTGCTGCTGATTACGGGTGTTGAAATATTACAATTGTTAAAATATTCTAATCAGGTGTTTTACACTTCGAACAGGGATTTAGAAAAACAAATTTCATCCATTAAATACATTATTTGAAGTGGAATTGCAATCACATGCCTTATATTAACAGAACATTTAACTTCACAATGATAGATTCAATTTTTTAATCAACTAAGTCAATTGTACTCGTAAAAATAGGTGAAATCCCGTAATCAGGAGGGAGCCTCCATAATTTTCAGAATTTTATGCATAACTGCGTAATGACGAATTTCAAAATTCTATCTACTCTCATATGTTTTTTTGAATTGTCAAATGTCAATACTTGAATATTGTAAGAAAAATCGTCGTATACTTCGCGTACATGATGGAACACACAAACAACTAATTCCATTAGGAAGTTTTCTTGCGGGCGTAAAACAATTGTTTGAACAATATCGATTGAAGCAGAACAAAATGCAAGGTTGATAACAAAGTGTCTTTGTCATTTCATAATAAAAATGTAATGTGGATGAATGTGCATTCGTTGCAAAATATGCGTTTCTGACTGAACTCTGATAAACTATGCTGAAGAATATTTATAGTATATTTCAAGATCGTTTGAAGTCCTCGATTGGAATAAGTTTCCGCATTTGCACAATTAAAAACTTCTGTTCTTGATATTCTAGTTGGCATAGCCGATGTAACAAGAAAGAAAATATTTATATAGTTTCAAAATGACAATACCTTTAGATAGAAGAACAATAAGATATACGCAATATCTAAGATGTAAAAAAAAATAAACTGATTTTACTGCAGTTTTAATAGAAGTGCCGTTGTTTTCGCATGCTTCTATTTCTGCTTAGCGTTAAAAAGAATACTATACAGTTGAGGAGTGGTTGACTTTAGACGCCACTCTTAAATTACTACTGCCTAACAAGTTATAAAATGGATTTTCGGACGATACTGTGAACGAGACATCTTCTTTTGTTACATGAGTCTCGTACTACAATATCTCAACGACCGATATTAGCAGTTTTTGTACCGGATAGTTTCATAAGTCCAATCCGTTTGAGCGCGTAAATAAAAGGTGCTTCAAGGTGTAACATTTTAGAGAATTTTATTCGTCGAGTCATTATTTTCAAATAGTTGAGGTTAATTTTAAAACAGGGGTTGGTTCTATTTAATAGCGCATATTTAAATTGATCGAATTTTAGTATAAATGTTAACACCTGATTGGAACTGAAATACATGAATACTTCTGAATGCAAAAAACTGATTGATGAGTTTTATAGATCATAGGTTCTCAACGTGCTTCGGGAAAGAAGTCCAGGATCTCGTTGAGCCAAACCTATAGGAGCTCCGCGAGCTATCCGTTTACTTATTTAAAATACTGATTTGGCTAATACTGTAACTGCCCAAAATAGTAATAAGGGCAGTAATAAAATTTGACAACGATGGCGTAGAAATGCGGAAACAAGCGGCAATTAAAATGTGATATATTATCCATATCCGCATGCGGCTCTTGCGTCGGTTTTATGCGTCTCTTTTCGCTTCCCTCTAGTCTCAGATGAGGCTGCAACTGAGTTTAAGATCATCGATCTTTCTAGAGAAGACCAAATTAAATGCGCTTTAGGGGAAGGGGCTATTGACTTTTGGCAAAGCATGCCAATTTCACATGAAATCAAACCATTGATCTGTTATGACTGAAACTCATGTGTAAGAACTGCTTCGATTAGCTACAACGACACACAAGCCATACTTAAAAAGCATTGTTCAATCCAAGTAACGCCAGTAGTCCCACAAGTAGCATGCATAACAATAAATGGCTTGTAAATTCCTGTCATGAACATGTTTGTTATTGACATTTACAATAACTAGCATTTTAGCAAATTGAATAAAGGTATATCTGATGTTAATGTGCGTTCTTGTTTATATCTTATTAACAAGATTGATAATTATTTCGACCCCATCTCGACAGGTCATTTATGGCCACTTATGGCTTGTTGGAATATTTTTTGATCGACGAGTTTGATTGTCCTTGGATCTGCTGTTATACATTTCCAACCGTTCCAATTTTGAGGTCTGTGCTCAGGGGCGAGGCCAAGATTTTTAAAAGAGTGGAGGAGGTTTTTGCAATATTTAAGTGCAACGGCTGAAACCTTCGCCACGATTATACTACTGGTTAAAATAGAATAAATCAATTATGAATATAATGCCAAAGAATAAAGCATGTTTTTCCCACTGTTTGTGGACATTATTGTCCAAGGGAATAGTCTCATTTTTATTTGATCGAACTTTAGAAGACATTATTCCACTTATGTATATATTTATATACACCAATATTTCCGAATGCAAAAACTCAAATATTTCATAAATTCCAACTTAATATATACTAGTGTAAAGCACGCATGTATGGAGAATATGGTTCCAATATCTTTGAATTCACGTACATTTGCACCCGTAAATATGTACAAGTGATTTGCACCCACGGACATTTGAAACCATGAACAATTACACCCGCAGATTTTTGTACCCACATACAGATTGCACTCGCAGACATTTGAACCCATGTACACTTGAACCCACGAACATTTGCACTTATGAACGTTTGCACTCAAGTAAATTTGAACCAACGTACAATTGCACCAAAGACATTTGCACCCGTGGACATTTAAACCCACGGATATTTGCATCAATGGACACTTGCACCCATAGTATTTTGCACCGTAAACATATACACCCATGGATAATACTCTTTGAAGTAGAATGGGTCCTATTGTCATTAGCGCGAAATAGCGACATTCTAATGCTATGAGTAGTAAGAAGACCAACTCACTGCAATCCCAAACGCGATTAATTTGGATTTTCATCCATTAACAAAGACCGAGGAAAACAACCAGCATCGGTATAGACACCATTTTGACGCGATAATATAAAAACTAAGGAAAGTGCTGTAAACAACTTGTTCCGAAATCATGCTTTCGTCGAGTCGAAGTCGTTTCTCGCTCTTTGTTTTTCTCACATTTATTCGTCTTTCATAAAGCACTTCTCTCTTGTTTTGTACACTTAATTTAGCACTGACCTGACTAATTCATTTATGAACACTTTCCTTCCCAATCGTCTAATAAGCATCGCAAATTCGACTACGTTTGCGTTATTTCATCGACAGAAAATGACCGATAAAGGGGGCAAAGATTATAACTCGCAATGACAGTAAGCACGTAGCGACCCTCACCAAGAATAGGGCTACTTAAAATTGTAATCAGTTTCCATTTCGAATACTTATTTATTGAAACAAGGTAATTGAAACACGGTTATTTGCGAACATGACTATGGGTGCGTTTATGAGGCACATGCATATGCGTGAGAATGTCATAGGTCCAAAAGTCCGTGAATGCAGATGTTCATTGGTAAAAATGTAAGTGGGTGCAAATGTCAATTAGTGGAAATGTACGTGGGTGCAAAAGTACATGGGTGCAAATGTACATGGATGCAAATGTTTGTGGGTGCAAAATTTCATAAGTGCAAATGTTCGTGAGTTCAAATGTCCGCGGGTGCAATCTATATGTAGGTGCCAAAATCTATGGGTAGAAATGTATGGATGCAAATGTCCGGGGGTTCAAATGTCGGTGGGTACAAAGTATGCAGTGTAAATGTCCCGGGTGCAGTTTACGGGTGTAAATATATGGGTGCAAATGTACGTGGGTTTAAATGTGCTGTCACCGAAGAATATAATCAAAAACACACTCTGATACGAATAATTTTTAAAACTAATTAAATAATAAAAGTTTGTAATACGATATTCCAATTTCTTACTTTCAAATTGGAATCAGTTGCTCCTTGTGCAAATGCTTTCAGTTTTTCAATTGTCAAATTGCAGTCGTTAAACTTCACTTCACTTGTTTCAACAATTGAAGCAATTTGTGCAAATATATGAAATGCTTCGAACTCCATGGTCTTGTCAAATAGGTTTAAAGAATTGATCTGCAAAATAAATATGAAACTATTCAATACAATTGAGCAATAAACTTGTTAGTTTTAATTACTTTGAAAGCAAATATATGAGCAAATATAATTATATTATAACGTGTACTCGTCGCAAAAAATGCTTTTTTGAAATATACTGAACAGTCACAAGATTGCAACAATATTTAACAATTATTTTACTTTCCTTTCTCTAAAATGAGTAGCGTATCTGCACATTTAAACCCACTCCCTTGACGCGTACATCTAGTTGTTCTATGCGACAAAGCCGAACAATATACTCATAAGTATAAGATACGACGCCAAAAACACACGGCAATTTTTTTAAATAGTTCTAATGTTCCTACATACATTCAAAATGATATTAATAGCTAAAAATAAGAAACAAACTTATTGAAAAGAAAATGTTTAAAAGCCTAAATCAAAAATTTATTTAACATAGTTTACCGCGAATAGCTTTATATATTAGAGACAACAAACCACCATCATTTTTCAGTAACCCACCAGTTACGAAATGAAGGTGACGGACATTTGCACCCCTGTACATTTGCAACTGCTGACATTTGCACCCATAGACATTTTCACCACCGTACATTTGCACCCCTGTACATTTGCACCTGCTGACATTTGCACCCGCGTACATTTGCACCCACAGACAGTTGCACCCACTTATAATTGCACCCACAGACATTTGCACTCATGGGCATTTGCACCCACAGACATTTGTACTAGCACTAATGGACATTTGCACCTACCTACATTACAAACTTTAATTACCAACTATAAATATATATTCGAAATGAAGACGGATTCCAATTTACGGTGGTTAGTAGATGATGACGAAAAACGTGGTTATACATAAATCAATCCAGTCAGTGTTAAATAAGAGAAAAACAGGAAGATAGAAACTCGGCGAAAGCATGAGTTATATGAAACAAGTTGTTTACAGTACTTTCCCACTATTTATTATTACGTCATAATAGTGTTTATATGGTGGCGGAGGGTTTTCCTCGATCTGTGTTAATGGATGGAAATCCAAATTAATCACGTTTTGGTTTGCAGTGAGGTCGTCTTCATTACTATTCGTAATAAAACCTCTTTTACTTTAAAGACTGCTATCCACGGGTGTGAATGTTTGCGGGTGCAAAAGTTCATGGGTGCAAGTGTCCATAGATGCGAATATCTGTGGGTACAAATGTTCATGGTTGCAAATTTACATGGGTGCAATTGTAGGTGGTAGTAAATCTACGCGGGTGCAAATATCCGCAGGTACAAATGAACCAGGTGCAAAAGTCCCTGGGTGCAAATGTTCATGAGTACAATCTGTATGTGGGTTTAAAAATCTGCGGGTGCAAATGTATGTGTGCAATATTCCTGAATGCAAATTACGGGTGCCAATGTACGTGGGTGCAAAGATAATGGAACTGAATTGAAACATGTATAACAACATTTCAGCAGCAGGAATTGATAATAAAACCAGCTGCGGGGGATACGAGGGATATGAGAACTAGATGACACTTTGCCAATTATTTTTCGACGGATGCAATGCCTTTGAAAAACAAAATATTATTGACTTAAATTAACTACTGCAGAAATGTGTAATAACAAGGAAGTAGGCTATTTATGAATTTAATGCGGTTTAAAGCTGATCGAAATAGTCGCAGAGATGAAACAGAAAGTTTGTCGGTGATGCAAACTTTGATTGAATATCTATGACCCACATTAACACAGTCTTCTTTTCAACAAAAAAATATAGATTCTAAATCCCCTTGTTTAAGAAGTTCGCCATTCCTGTTATATATCATCGTAAAATCCAAGACAAAAATTCGAGTATGGCACAATGGTAATTTAAGAATGAATAATTGAATGATTCAACTTCAGTAACGACGGCATGTTTTAGACTGGGCTCAATGCGTGCATAGACTCCGGAATTTTGTCAATGTAGCATTTTTAATCTGTCGCGGCGACCCCAAAACAAAATTTATTGTGTTTTTCTATAGACTATCTATAGTATAAATTAGAGTTGTGGATTCACTCCTTTGAGAAAATTTTATTCAGCTTTTATGACGTGATAACCGCGTATTTGACCATGGCGAGGTGCAATCTGCCCAATTTTGAGGTACGTAGGACTACTTGGAAGTATAATATTCGCATTTTAAACGGATTTTTCTTTTCGGTGAACCTATTTTTGAGCAGATATATTGGAGCAATTTGCATAATGGTTGCACAATTTTTAAAAAAATCGAAAGTCGGGGAGGGTGGAGGGCCGGTCGCCCCCATTTTCTTGTCCCCAAAAGTATATTAAAATGTCAAATATTTTAATGAATTTAATCTATAAAGGTTTGCAAAGAATTGTAGCAATTTATTGACTTCCTTGGTCTTGAATGTGGGCAGATAAACTTGCAAAGTCGGGTAACTGGCCTTGCTAGGCTAGCTTGCTATGTTGTTAGGCTGCCGAAACGCGGATCAATCTGAACCGTGAAGGGAAATCTCCAACAGCAAATACACCATCCAGATTAAGACGCATCGTGTCGTCTGACATTTTTTGCAGTGCTTCTGTTTTGCTTCAATATACGCCAGCATAGCCGCCAAATCCTATATTTTGAACTTTTTTTTTCATAGGATTTTGTATGTGGACGGCCGCATTATTTTTTCACAACGGCCGCATGCGGCCGTACGGCCGCAGGTTGTGCACCGTTGGCCTAGAGGAATACCTAAATAAATTTGCAAAAGTATAGTTCACTGACATAATACCAATGTTCACGACCTAAATACGTCACGCTCACGAAAACAATCGGTGATTATATCAAATTATTCATGTGGAAATCGCAAGCGTCTTAAGCTAATTCTTCAATCCTCGCGAAAATCTTGAAAAAGGGGTTCGTACCAGTTTCATTGAATCTATTATTACGTCATAATATGATTTTGAAAATTTGCTCAATATATCAAGGTGTTACACGCAAATTTTTAAATTGTGCAAAATACGAGAATTTTAGCTATATATATATACGCTAACAAACCAGATAAATTGGATAGTAAGTTTAGGACCACCAAAGTTGTAATAGAACTTCATGTCACAGAATCGACGATATAATAACCATTTCTGGTCGCGAGGTGATAAATAAAACATTAATATTAAAAATTATCATTCGAATTATTTGAAGTATACGGGATTACAATAAAAACACATTCAAAAATAACAAGACAAATTTAAATAGTCTAAGATTTGTTTTTGCTTAGATAAATTATTATAGCTATTTAATAATTATAAATCCTTATTGAACCGCCCTCCCTCTGAGCCTCTTGTATATCGTTCCTAAAAAAAAAATCACTTCTTTTTGTTCAAACGTGCGAGAAACTTCACTGAAATGTTGTTGGAAAGCTTATTTACTCTGCTTTATGCCATCCGTTCTTCAAGACATGTGCGCTTTTCTCTCAGCCATGTGATGTTGAAAATGAAAGAAATTTATTTTCATTTTTTAGGAAAAGTTTGGTATTGATATCTTGTTTGGTATATATTGATATATACAAGCGAGATCGACTCGACAACCAAGTCTCTCAAAAAAAAAACATTACGTCACCACTCCAACGAGCTCAGACTTGCCTTCTGAAGCGCAGCGAAACGCTAGATATTCAAAATACAAATAGCGCATGTTTTTCCGAAATGTTGCGAGCGAGCGGAATCTTTGTTTGTTTATTTGTGTGCGGGTAATGATTGCTCGCTCGTTATGCGCGGAAAACGATTGCCAGCTGGCTCAAATTACTTTCTTTCTAGTAATAACAGATTCTTTGTATATTTCTTAGCTTTCAAATACTTACAGTCATGAAACTCGTGAAAAAAATAAATAATGACGCGCAACCGTGATTACAACCGTGATTACACTCGGACAAGCATATATCATGCTTGAAAACGACGCAAAAGGTCTTATTGATTTTGTTTTGGCATACTCCACGATAAGACCTGTACGTAAAGAATATCAACTCTTACTAACCAATCATGCTAGAACCATATTATTATAGGTACATAGGTTGCATCCCGATTTTATCGGGTTTTAAAAAAAATCCGTTTTGGGTAAAAAGTGATCAATTGATTCAAATTAGTCTATTTTGTTAGGTTTTTATTTTCCTAATTTTCAAAAATTTCATTATTCGACTCTATCCAATTTTAATTTTGTGAGCGAAAAATAACTAAATTAATAACCTGATTATAAAATAAATCAGTATCAAATGTAAGAATTACTGAAATGGTATACCTTTTGAACCAAAATTCAAAATTCAAAAATGACTTCAAAATGAATAGAAGTTTGAAATTGGACTAAGTGGCCCCTGGGCTTTGACTAATTGATAAGTTGGGTTAGTATACTTATATAAGTTAGTATACTTTGACCAACTTGGTCCACAGAAAAATTGTAGGAGGTCGTGATATTTACCGACATATTATAAAACAGGGCCCATTCAAATTTTTTGATAGATATAAATTAAAATTTGCGCCACAATACGAAATAAACCTAATTAGTTTGCACAATTCGTCGACTATATATACTTTAATATATGTTTTTCCATAACTATCCGTATGGAACCGTAAAATACGTATGATTTTTATATAGTTTCAGCATAGACACCAGCGTTTAGTGTTTGTTTTGTGTGATATGCTTGTTTACGATATGCTTGAAAAAGTTTTCGTTTTGTTCGGAACTGTACTTTGAATAAATTCTCATTCCTGATAATACCTAAATTATCTGAAAATTGAAGATAAGAAATATAAGCAAATGAAGACTTTAATATTTCCTCTCTTTCAGAATTGTTGCCGCATATTTCAGTCAATGAGCTAAAATTACAAATATTTTAAATTAATGATTAATCGGAGTTGATCAACAAAGCTTTATCCCAATAAATCCTCGTAGAAATCGTATGTTTAAAACTCATCTGGAGTGATTCGCATTCGAAAAGACATTGAAACAAATTATCAACAAGTTTTATATAAACAAAACGTTTTTAACTTCTTACTTTCAAGTCACAATCAATTGCTCCCTGCTTAAATATATTTAGTTCTTTGCTTGCCAGGCAGTCGGCAAACGTCATAATTTTTGCTTTTGTAATTGAGGCAACTTCAGCGATATTGTGGAATGCTTCGCACTCCATGGTTTTGTATGCTATGATTAAACAACTGATCTGTAAAATAAATATATATTATTAATAAGTTTTTCTAATCATTTTGATATCGCTTCAAATAGAACATATTCAGCAAATAATAATGACATTTAAATGAGCAGTCAAAATAAAGAGCGCTTTGTAAGCAAATATTTATGAATTTATCAAAATGCACCCATATTTGGCATGTCAGAAGACATTTGATATTAAAAATCTTATCAACAATTTTAACATTTTACTTTCAAACCAAAGTCTATGGCTCCCTGTGCAAATGCATTCAGTTTTTCACTTGTCAGATTACAGTCCCCAAACTCCAATACATCTGCTCCTGTAGTTGAGGTAACTTGAGCAAATTTATGAAATGCTTCGGACTCCATGGCCTTGTCAAATAGGCCAAAGTGATTGATCTGCAAAATTATTATTAAACTCACTATTTTGAGTAAAATGTATTCATTTGCATTTTTCCATTCACAACCTTCAGCTTTTTATCCAAGTGAATCGCAGAAAGATATCTCTGATTCAAACCCTATTCTCACCACCTTACCCGAGGTGTAATAAATTGGAAAGACAATACCGAACGTGAAATATCAGATATTTTCAAACTCTAGTAGCTTCTAACATAACAACGGCTGCTTGTGCATAGCACTGTTCGGGCGAATGGCGCATAAATACAACGTATGGATATACAGGAAAGGTATGAAATACATAGTGTTCAAGAGATTATATTATTTAAAAGAATTGAGATGTAACACATTCGGTAATCTATGCAAAGATGTTTCAGAAGGAACTGGTATGGATTTCCTGAAAGTGTGTGCTAATTTGATTTCATCCCTTTTTTGACACTGCACTCATCTACGTCTTTAATTATTTCTCTTTTTTACAGTGTGTATGAATCATGTTAGCCAGCTTTGGCGTATGTTTTATAATTATATTTTTCATACGTCAAACCATTGATTCGCACTAGTGGTATCTCGATGTTGTTGCTTACTGAAATAACTCCACTGAAACTGCGGTTCTATATCAGTTTATTTGCATTTTATTTTTCGTCCAGTAATTTATGTCCACAAATGGGGGTAGACCACCATAAATGTATATAAATGTATAAATTAGTTTCACCCATAAACTTTAATTTAAAATGTTCATCAACAACTGTCCTGTTGAAACGAGATATTCATCTGATTCGTCTGATAGAGCAATCTTTATTATTAACAATGTTTCAAATTTCAAATCAACGTTCTCGTCAATAATGACGGTGAATTTATAATCTGCGTTATGGAATATATAATTCTTTGCTCAAACATCGGATGATATCCGTTGTATAAACTTATATGAAATATCGTAGCATTGCCAGGGAGTCGTGAAACCAAAACAACAAAGCAATTGGAAATAATGGGAGATTATAATGTGCTGAAAATTAGGTTTGTTTGTTGTAAAGCATTTTGTAATACCACTTCATACTATTTGAATTTGCCAACAATATTTTAGCGGAGAATTTCATTCGTCATATTTTATAATCCGATAATAATACCTTGATAGGACCCAATGAATGAAATATTAAATTATTTTTTAAAACAAAATTGTTCTATTTTTATTCTAAATCTCCAAACTCATTTTACAGCTGGATCCGGTTAGCTTGGCATATTAAAACTCATGCTGTGAAATGTATTTCTTTCTTTATTCCCTTTCCCAATCCCTTTTCACCGAATATCTGGAGACATAGCAAGTATTTGATACCGGCTAACTATGCTCGTTCCTTAACGTTTACTTTGGTTTATTGAGAGATTGGTCTATGTTTCAATGCAATGCGAACTTCTGTTTGGAAATAACACTTCCGCTAAAATAAACTTACTATGTCTATTTACCCTGTTCCAGATGAGCAATCTGGCCCAATTTTGTACAAAAATTAGATATCATTGGAAAGTTCTTTTTGAGTACTATACGCTAGATGTCACTGGAGGACCGTAAACTAAAATCCGTGCTGATGAGGTCTCTCGAAACGTCATGAACTAACAAAAATATTTTCACCTCACTCATTCTACCAGCTGTTGGACGTGGTATTCTCTTGGAAAGCTCAAATGTGTCATACAGTTGACTGCGTATTGATTTTCTCTTTGATATGATAATAGAACAGTGCCGATAACGCTCGTCCTTCGAGCGTGATGAAAATTTTCCGTTGGAAAAGTCACCGCATCGAATCAGGCCAAGCTATGATTGTTCGATCGTTTTGTTGTTTGTTTGTGCGTTATGGCGTTGAAAGCTTTTGTGAGTCATAATAAAACATTTATTATAAATCATAAAGACTTATAATCGTGAGACAAGATGAATTCGAGCAATAAAACGCTTTTGTGAACTCACTTTTTTCGGTGAGGCAGCTGCGATCAAACGACTCGATATTTTTTTAAGCTCGGAGTTATCTCGACGTGAAAATAAAATCTAGTTGTCTGATGCGTTTGGAAAATTCCTAATTTTTGAAAATAATTCAACAACTTTTATTTCTCACATAATTTTAGAAATTTAGAAAATTACCTACTGCAGATGTTTGGCATGTAGCGTGCGTATCTCTGACAGCATTTTATTCACTATATGGAAGGCAAAATAGTCCTCTAAATAGCGTAACTTTTCAACCTAATTATAATTCCTTCAAGCAAATATTTCCGAATGCAAAAAACTAATTAATAAGTTCCTAGTCTTTTTTGCCTTTTGAATTTTATATTTTAATAAAATACTCGTATAAAGCCCGCGTTTAAAGAAAATGTAATAAAATGCATTCTAGTATTATTCATTCTGAACATTGATAGATATTAAGAAATTTCATCAACAATATTCCAACTTCTTACTTTCAAACCGAAATCAGTAACTCCCTGTGCCAATGCATTCAGTTTTTTACTTGTAAGATTACAGTCGCCAAAATGCACCGCATTCGCTCCTATGGTTGAGGCAACTTCAGCAAATTTATGAAACGCTTCGGATTCCATGGTCTTGTCTGATACGACAAATTGTTTGATCTGCAAAATTATTAATAATCATAATTTTTAATAAAAATGTTATTTATTCACATTTTTTTACTCACAACATTCAGCTCTGCCAGCGAATAAATCGTAAAATAAAAACTAAAAAAATTTTGGATCAAATTGTCATCTCTTTACTTTACACTTGATGTAATAAATTGGGTAGGCAATACCAATTGTGAGAAACAGGTCTTTCCAAACTATAGTATCTCCTAAACTAGCAGTGGCTACTTGATGGAGATCCTTGTTGGGATTCAAATGCGCATAAATACATCGTATGAAAATACAATGAAGACTAAAATAAATAGTGTTCAAGTGGGAATATTAGAAAATCGCATTTGTTAGTTTTTTGCAAAAGTGTATCAGAAAGTCTCAACTTGGACTTCCTGTCAGTATCGATCGACTAGTTTGACTTCACCGTTATTTCCGACCATTCCTTTTTTTTTATTTTTCATTTCTTTTTTAATGTGTGTATCAATTTTGTTTGCTTTCTTCGGTATATGTTTTAGCATAAACATGATCCTAATTATCAGGTTCATTCCAGCAAGTGGTTTCCTGCGTTGGTTCGGGTCCGTTGCTCACTGAAATAAATCCACTGATACTGCGGCATAGACCCCCATAAATATATTTTTTATCCTCAAACAGAGTTTTTATTTTGCAAATACATCGCACTTTTCAAACTTCACCCCGCTCGATAGTAAAAGGCGAGCGGTACCTATTATTTATTGTCTTTTTTCCATCTATAGAACCCATGCTGAGTTGGCCGAACCCTCACATATATATTTGTTAAATTTGTATTTTTTGTTTTTAATTATAACCTCAGCGGGCCGTTCGTGACTAGCGTGGATTCCAATTTTATATATTTTATCTATGTATCCGCCAGATCACGAACCACTTGTGGAGCATCTTACGTAAATTTTATTTCTTATGCTTCTAATTTTCCGGAAGTAGATAAGTGTAGCATTTTTTACTGATGTGTGAATAATTTCCTTGGAGATGAATCTAAATTCACACAGTAATATCGGTTAACCCACAGCCAACTTGCTTTTTATCGTCACATACAAATTTGAACTGTAATGACTATCTTTATAAAAAGTGATAATCCAAGGTTTTGAATATTCTAGGTGACATGGGTATAGCCGTATTTATTATGTAATAGAGCAGTCTATACTAATTACAATGTCTTGAATCTCGATTCCTTTTTATGGTCTTTGATGAAGCATGAATTTAAACTTTGTGATGTTAAAACTTTTATAAAATATGTTATTAGTGTCATGGATCGAAGACAACAAGATAAAGCTATTTAAAGGATGAACGGATTGCAACATTATAAAAGCTGAGTCTTGCTTGTTTTAAAGTCTTTTGTGATAAAAACGCAAAATAATTGAAATTATTTCTAAACTTCATTTCAGTGATGAATTTATTACGTATTACACAACCACCAATTCATGTGAATATAAGAGCGTATCGGGAATCTGCAGTTTGTTGGTAGAACTAATTTTATATTTTTTTAATTTTTGTACCAAGTGGGCAGTCGGTCCGAAAATATTCATTTATGATAAAAAAAATACAATTCATGTTTTTGTTTTTCCAGTATTCTATTGCCAGTCAGCAAGATTATTTTATCAGATTTCCCGAGTGGAAATAGCAGAAAGCGATCGCGCGACCTCGTACATGCACGTTTGAATGGACTTAATTGACCTATTTGTTATGTGAACATGCAAAAGTTAATGATGGAGCTCATTACGGTACTTTACAATGAAATAGACGTTCAAAGTATTTCATCAACAAATTCTAATTTCTTACTGTTAAGCCAATATCAGTCGCCCCCCGTGCAAATGCAGTCAGGTTTTCACTTGTCAGACTACAGTTGGTAAAATGCACAGTCTCTGCTTTTGTAGTTGAAGCAACTTGAGCGAATTTATGGAATGCTTCGGTGTCTATGGTCTCGTTCTGTAGATGCAAATAATTGATCTGCAAAATTAATATAAAGCTATTAACTTTAATTAAGCAAGGAACCAGTTATTTTCGATTGCTCAGAATATAATATACATATAGAATACCGTGCATAATGATAATATGAAAGAGAAAATGTTTTTCCGACTCAACTCGCGGCCAAACCATGCTAAATGAGATTTTTACCAATATTTAGAGCTGACAAAGCCGATGAAACAAGAAACATTTGGAAAGTTAAGAAATGATAGTACTTTTAGATAGCAGAACAATACCCAATGTCCAAGCTGCTACGATTTTTAACTGATATTTTACAGCTTTATAAAGAATGCCTTCGTTTATGTTTGCGTCTATAGTAGTAAAAAAATAATATTTAACCAGTTGTGTAGCGGTTGACTATTCCACTCGCAAATTGCTACTGTCGAACAAGTCTTAAAATGCAACAAGTCGAATTATTGTGGATGTTGTAACGCTTGAAAGTACATTGAAAGAAACCATTGTCATCGTAACGGTTCATAGGTAATTTATATCTACGATTGTTGGGTGGATGTGACTTTACATCCTCAAATCGATGACATTTATGAACTTTCTCACAATACTGTGAACCTTCATCGTTTCGTGCAAGAGTATCTGATATTGGCAGTTTTTGTAAATGATAGTAACATAAGTTAAATATTTTATAATATCTCCGTGAATTTTATTCAAGATCATGGGCCATCCTTATCAAATAACTGATGTTACTTTTGAAAAATTGTTCTCCCATTTAATTAATAGCGTACTTTTGAATTGATCGAATTCTGGGATAAACTTTAACACCTAATTCTGACTGCAAAAATCTAATTTATGAATTGCCTCGACCATAGCGTCTCAAAGTGCTCAAGTACGGAGCCCCGGGGCTCGCAACAAACCGCATGCGTTATAAGCGACTTTTCCGATCATCGCGAAAATTTCAAAAAAGGGGGTTTGGGCCATGGCTGCTATTTTTGTGGTACCCCCTTACTTTGGTGCCATAGGCACGTGCTTATTTTGTTTACTGGCTAATCCAGCACTTGGCTCACATAGGGACGGATTCAAACGATAAGAGCACAATAGGCCTTTTTATTCGTGGAGTTTCTATTTAACAATATCGTCACAGAACTCCATTGAATCTATTTCTTTAATATTTTTTAATTTTTATTTATAAAAAAAAATTGAAGTATTGTTAGGGTAAGAAACTGATCAAATAATTTTAATTAGTAAATTTTGTCAAGTTGTTGGAGAGTAGAATTTTTCAGATTTTGAGGAAATTTATTTATTTAACTTTATTCAATTTTCAATTTTGTAAACAGAAAATGATTGCGACCAGCATTATTCACTTGAAATGAATTAATGTCAGTTTTGAAAAACGTCTTGAACAAACATTTAAAATTTAAACAGGACTTGAATGAAATGAATAACAAGTTCTAATATATAAATAGATATATTAGTTTAAATATGTTGTTTCTATATTCATATTTAATTTGGGATTTCTATTATTTTCCATTCTGTGTTAGACCCCATCCAGGGTGTTGCTGCTCGATAACCTGTACAGTGTTTTTGCTTCTTCTTTAATACTGAAATACTATCTATATTTATTTTCCAACGTATATGTACGTTACGTCTTTTCAGCATTGGTGAAAAAAAATTACTGTTTACTGAATACAGTTCGAAATTGCACTAAGTGACCTCTGAGCTTGAGCCTACTCTGCCTAATAGGTAATCCGGCACTTGTTCCACAGAAAAACTTTAGGAGGTCATGATCTTTACCAACATATTACAAAACAAGACCTATTCAGATTTTTCGATAGATCCAGGTGAAAATTTATTCCGCACTACCAAATACCCCAAACTATTTTGCACACTCCTTACACTCTATACATCAATTTTATTTTTTCAGTATGGAGCCGTAAAACTCGTCTGATTATTATAGGTTTAGAATTGGCAAAAGTGCTTCGTTTTTGTTTTATATACTGGGGAACCACATTCTGTCAACAACAGTTTTGCTTTTTATATTCTAAGATAAATGGATTGATCCAAGACGTAACGATACACTTAAAAAAGTTTTCATTTTGTTCGAAACTGTACATTGAATAAGTTCTTATTCTTAGTAATACCTAAATCATACGAAACTTGAAGATAAGATATATAACGCAACTGAATATTTTATTTTTTCCTCTCATTCAGAATTGTTGCCGCATATTCAAGTCGCTCAGTCAACATAACAAACATTTTAAATTAATCGGTAATTGGATTTGAGCCACAAAGCTTTATCTCAATCAATCTTCGTATAAATCGTATGTTTAAAACTCATCTGGCGCGATTCAAATTTGGAAACACATTGAAACAAATTATTAACAAATTCAATCAAAACAACAACAAGTTTTTAAAGTTTTACTTTCAAGTCACAATGAATGGCTCCCGTCCTAAAGTTTTTCACTTGTCAGATTGCAGTTGCAGAACAACAGTATGTCTGATTTTGTAGTTGACGCAACCTCAGCGACTTTGTGGAATGCTTCGCACTCCATGGTATTGTCTTCGAATAAACAATTGATCTGTAAATAAATATATAATATTAATACAAAAACAACTTTATCTAAACGTTTTGTTATCCCAACAAATAGAATATATTCTGCAAATGATAATGACATTTAAATGAGCATTCAAAATAATGAGCGCTTAATGAGAAAAAATTTATGCATCATAATGCAAGCATATCGGCATGTCAGAGAACCTTCGATATAAAAAATTTCATCAACGATATTCTAACTTCTTACTTTCAAACCGAAATCGGTGGCTCCCTGTGCAAATGCATTCAGTTTTTCACTTGTCAGATTACAGTCGCTAAACTCCACTTCATCTGCTCCTGTGCTTGAGGCAACTTGAGCAAATTTATGAAATGTTTCGGACTCCATGGTTTTGTCAGATAGGAAAAATCGATTGATCTGCAAAATGATTAATAAAGATACTGTTTTGAGTGAATAACTACTCATTCACTTTTTTTTATTACCAACAACCATGCAGCTTTGCATTTAATTAAATCGTTGCCAAAAATCTCGGGTCTAAATGCCATCCATTCTTTCTCCCTCACCGAGGGTGTACTAAACTGAACATGCAGCCAAATCCCAACCAAATAAAAACAGGTCCTTCTCATCTATAATATCTCCTAAACTTGTGAAGAGTTTTGTTGGGATTCAAAGGCGCATAAATACATGGTATAAAAACACAATAGGTCTAAAATGAGTGATAATACAAGTGGGAATATTATAAAAATTACAATTGTTGGTTTTATGCAAAGTTGTATCAGGAGGTCTAGGTTTGGACTCCCTGACAGTCGTCTAATTTGACGTCACTCCCATTTTCGACATCGGGTTCTTCTTTGTTACTTATCGATTTTAATCGGTAAGTATGTTCATAGGTATATGTCCGTATGTTTGTCTGTTAGATGCACGCGATATCTCACGAAAGCGAGATTGAATCTGCTCCAGATTTTGCATGTGCATTCATCTTATCTCGAACCAGAAGCCTATTGATTTTGGGTGAAATATGTCGTATAATTAGCGAGTTATCAATCAATTATTGATATAGTGGTCTAGATTTTTGTAAAGCGAGAGAATTTTGAGACCCGCCGAGTGTGTGTGTGCGATGCGCAGTGCGTAAGTTACAAGAGCGGATGAATAGAAACTGCAGTTTCTGTTTTGGGGGATCCCCTAACTATCGATCGATAAGTCTTCGGTTTCCAACCGATATTCTCGTTACTTATCGATTTTAATCGGTAAGTATGCTGATAGGTATTTGTCTGTCTGTATGTATGTCTGTGTGTCTGTTAGATGCACGCGATATCTTACGAAAGCGAGATGGAATCTGCTCCAGATTTTGCATGTGCATTCATCTTATCTCGAACCAGAAGCCTATTGATTTTGGGTGAATTATGTCGTGTAATTAGCGAGTTATCAATCAATTATTGATATAGTGGTCTTGATTTTTGTAAAGCGAGAGAATTTTGAGACCCGCCGAGTGTGTGTGTGCGATGCGCAGTGCGTAAGTTACAAGAGCGGATGAATAGAAACTGCAGTTTCTGTTTTGGGGGATCCCCTAACTATCGATCGATAAGGTTTCGGATTCCAACCGATATTCTCGTTACTTATCGATTTTAATCGGTAAGTATGTTGATAGGTATTTGTCTGTCTGTATGTATGTCTGTATGTCTGTCTGTGTGTCTGTTAGATGCAAGCGATATCTTACGAAAGCGAGATGGAATCTGCTCCAGATTTTGCATGTGCATTCATCTTATCTCGGACCAGGAGCCTATTGATTTTGGGCGAATTATGTCGTATAATTAGCAAGTAATTAATTGATTAGTGATGGGACACAAGGTGTCACTATGGAGTAGGAGCGCTGTTTTGGGGGACCCCTAATCGATAAGTCTTCGATCTCTGACCGATATTCTCGTTTTTCATTTTCTCTTTTTTTCAGTGTCTGTTTAAATTTTGTTTGTGATCTTTAGTACATGTTTTATGATTAACATGGGCCTAATTACACGCTGGATTACTGCACGTGATGTTCTTGGGTTCTCCAAATTCTAGTACAAGTTTCGAGAAAATCAAGAAAAAATGAACTGAAGATATTTGGTATGTAGTTTGACAACTCCCTTTTATTAGAGAACTTAATTTAACAATATCGAAATCTCGAACCTGCACTAGTTTTGATTAACATGACGACACTTGATCCGTTTGAAAATTCGTTTAGAAATGTTGTCCCTACCAAAGTTTATTCAAAGTATTTCTATGCCCATGGGCAATCATGGAAGCCGAAGTGCTTGCTTCATTTTGGCCACAAATTGAGCACTACTTTTCACGATTTTCATATGACAGATTTCGAGATGAATCTCAGCTTGCGAAATTATACGCATCAATGTTATTTTGAAAAGGCTTCAACGTTTGAAAATATTAGAAATATTTACAAGTTAATTCGATAAACTTCAAAGGCAATATTGTACCTGAACGCAAAATATATTTCTTTTATACCTCACGTATCATAGTGCAATCTCACTGAGTATTAATTGTAAATGATTTTGTATAAAATTTGTAATATGTCTTTAAATTCGTTAATTTTATTAAGTATGTGGCATATCTATTTCTCTACTTCCAATGTCCAATCCAATGTCCCCAATTTGCATTTCCTATATTAGTTTCTTCAGGCCAATCTTTCCAAATTTTCGTTCAGACAAATTGGTTTGAAAAATTTAAAAAAACGAAATTACACTTATTGCACTGTACTGTGCAATACTACTTGATACATTAATTTAGAAAAACAAAACTACACTGTATTGCACTGTACTGCGCACTGTGTTGTACAAAACACGAGGCACGAAATTTCGGGCGATAAATTTCATTCGTTACACGGCGCGATTACGACCTTCATCACTCTTACCGCGTAGGAAAAATTTTCGAGGTGATGATGAAATTATTAGAAATGTTCATTAAGCTAGTAAAATGATGTATATATATAATGCGTTACATGTTACCACATACTAAAAATTTGGTTATTTTGTAAAAAAAATAAATGAATTAATACATTTCATTCTAGCAGCTTTTCGGAGCAAATAAATGATCTGATTAGAATTATTTCAAGACAATATAGCACAATTATCCAATAAAATAGCACAGCCGCAACGCAAAACGCAAACAATCACGTTCAATCACGAATATGAAAAAGCGTTTTGCGATAAAAGATATTCGTGGTTATTATGCAATAGCATGTAGCAATAGCATGTGCCATGACTTCTATGTAGATCAGGTGGTTACTTTAGAATGCTTTGTCACATTAAATAACGCAGTTTTTAACTGATAGAGACTGAGATTCAGATAAATGGAATAACGTACTTTTAACCTTATATAGTTTTAGAATACATTTTCAACATAAATATACTTTAATCACACAGATCTTTATACAAAAAACGCATTATCGTTGTCCACAGTCTTTTTTTGTCTACCTTGTATTTTATACTTCAATAAGTACTCTTTTAATGCGTGCGTGTAAAGAAAATGCACTCTAGTAAGATTCATTTTGAACATTGAATAAATATTCATCAACGATATTCTAACTTCTTACTTTCAAACCGAAATCAGTGACTCCCCGTGCAAATGCATTCATTTTTTCACTTGTCAGATTACAGTCGCTAAACTGCAATACTTCTGCTCCTGTAATTGATGCAACTTGAGCAAATTTGTAGAATGCTCCGGACCCCATGATCTTGTCGAATAGGACAAATTGATTCATCTGCAAAAATTATTTGCAGCTTGGTAATCAATCGTGGGCAGAAATCTCGGGTACAAAAGCCTTCCACTCGCACCATTTCACCCAGGATTGTAATAAGCTGGGGTTTAGGAAATGTCAAACAAAAAGACAGGTTTTTTCCAAGTATAGTAGATCCTAAACAAGCAATGGCTGCATATGAAAAGCTTTCTTGAGTTTCTAGGGCTCATGAATACATCGTATAAAAAAGAATGAAGACTAAAAGGAATGGTGTTAGAGTGAGAATGTTATAAAAATCACATTTGTTAGTTTTTTTTGCAAATGTGTATCAGAAGTTAGTTATAGTATGCTGTTTCATGTCCATACCCGCAATTTATATTCTGAAGCTCCCCGAATAAAGGAAGATAATTTATCAATATTCAGATTTGAATCTACAAATCCAAAATACTCAGATTCTGCAGTTGATGCAAGTTCAGCAGACTTCCGAAACAGTTCAAAATCTAATGTTTTGTCTTTAACGCAAATACCATGGATCTGTGACAAGATGAAAATTTATCAATGCGTGAAGATATTTGAATGAAATATTTGTTGGAAAGTTATTTAAAAAATATAACATGCAGTTTTTGAGTATTTATTTAATAAGTAATCATTTTATCTACGTCTAGAGATGATCAAAATTAAACCAGCACAGATATTCTATTCTAACGTCGTCGAAGAAATAGGCAGAAAGAACGTGAAATTATGAAGCTCTTCAGATTTGTATGTCCTCTAACAAATAATTTAAATTACATCAAATAGGAAGTTTTGGGAAACACCTAAACGAGGTTGAATTACTCAAAAAAACTTGAATACAAGTCATAATTTAAAATAAATAACGTGAATGCAAACTATCCACTGGCAACAACGTTATCCATAAGGTCAAATTTCAAATTTCTCTGGTCATACACCCATCCGCGTAGGATGGACAGCGGTCGCGTCGTTATTTCGCTGGGTAAATACTTTAAAGATAACGTCATAATTCCCACGAACGGAAATGAAAACATTGTCGCGCACTGGATAATCTCATAACATATTCTTGCATTCTATCGCGGGATGAAAATGATTTTTTTTTGTGATGCTCGGGGCAGATTTAGTAATCTTATCATGGGCAATATGCACAATATGGGCACATTTACTTACTTTCATCACATCAACCGATTTTGAGGAGTCTTGCATGAGTTGTAGTATATTCGAATTTAGGTTTATCCTTTCAACGCTGAAGCATTCTAGCGGCAGACACTCATTGGAAACGTGTGCCAGGGCGTAGTGTTCACCCGGTTTCAATTGCGCAAAATCAGGGGTATCCCGTGAAATCTTCATTTCTTTGATCAAATGTTTTATTTTAGATATTGCGTTCGGACCGCATTCGTGTAGGAGAGAAACGAGTTCAATGTCTGTAATCGTCCCACTGCTGAGAAACGACTTGAGTTGAGACTCAAGAAACTGTACGCAATGAAGAAGGCTAATATTTTTGTCTGAAAAATAAAACATTATATTTCAATTCATTAATTAATAGTGTAATATCTTATATGTATTTTAGCTGGAATATGAATATTTACTCAGGCCATTTTTAGGTCTGATGTGGTCAACGCAATGGGGTTAACCATGTTAGCGATGCGGCTTTAAAATCTCAAGTTTAAAGTTCTGCTCGACAAACTAAATATTCAACCAAGTGAGTGCATTGTATATTTGGTTGAACTGAATTTAAATGTTATGATGCACTCGATAAAAATACAAACTGTTAATATTTTTTTAGTTTTTCATATGACTAAGAATAAAAAATTTACCCCTCTCTCACATATTTTTCTACGAGTTTGCTCAAACCCATGCGCCAAATCTTGGCTGTTAAAACATAACAAAACATTCAAGCTTTTGATTGAATTAAAAATCAGATTCAAATTTTGTCATGGGAAATTTGATAAAATTCAATAGCATTGTAACGTTTGTTGTTGAAATTTTATATGATCAATCCTATAATATTGACACACCTCTCACATACTTTTCTGCGAGTTTGCTTGTCATGGGGTTCAAGACGATTCCATAGAAGAATTTACGAGTTGCTTGCCACTGAGGTTTGTTAAGTTCGACCGAGACAAATTCACGGAATCGTTCTACTTGAAAATTGAATAACTCCAAAGCGGCCAGTAATTCCTGTAAAAACATAAGAAATATTTAAAACTATCTCACTGTTAGTTGAAATTAATTCCATTCCGATACACTGTGGCCAAGACCAATAGTTTAAACACTGAATTACCGCAATCAGCAGAACACATGATTTGGCAATCGTTTTTGGCGGACGCGCATTATTGTTGATTTTCAAATACGACAAAAAAAAACTATATAAATATTGCATTATAAAGTTAAAAAGATGGAAATTGGATTATTTGTTACAGGCGAGCATTTAATTAACAATTAATCAAATTCAGATACGGTTTGAGCAACGCAGGTTTTTCAACTCTAAAGTAAAGCGTATGGCATACGATTTTTCTTTGTTTGCGGAAAGTGTTATCAATGATATTGGCATTCTTATTGTCAGATAGTAAGTATAAGATCCATGCCAGATTGATTTAATGAATAAACATTATACATTATAAGATTTCCTGACGTTTTTAGTCAGAGGCTTACTTCTTTTTAAGATATAGAGTCAAAGAAATAGAAACGAATTGCGTCGAATGTGACCGGTTGATTACAAGAATTCGCGAGATATCGTTTTAAAAACACCCAGATTCATGTTTGATAAAACATGAACCTACTTGCATAGTTTGATGTAAAAATTCAAAATTTAGATCCATTTTTCCGATGCACAATTGATGAGGTTCCGGCTCTGCTTTTGTTGTCATAATACCTTGTAGATCCGATACTTCTAAACCATGTTTTTCAGCATGAAATGCGGAAAAAGAGAAGATATTATTTTCAATTCCAGAAAATGCAAGCTTCGTTAGTTTTTGAATGTCTGCATTAAAGTGTTCAGAATGGGAAAAAAAATTTAGAACGGAAACTATGATCTCAGACTCTGTTTCTGGTATTTTGGTATCGGTTTGTTTAAGAACTTTGGCCATGTAGATAAGAAACATTGGATTCTTACACAGAGAAACGATATTTAGGCTTTGGGAAATCTCATTTTGCAATGCTTCTTCTCTGGCGTTAGATACAACCAAATTTGATAATATGTTTGGAATTTCATCGTCGTTGAAACTTTCAAGAACTACAGCCTTTGAAGGTTTTTGTTTTGAATCCAATTTCCAAAATGTGCTCCAACGGGAAGTGGATAAGATTCTCATGCCTGGATATAAGAAACCGGATAAAATGTTCGCCAAAATTGTGTTTGTTTCCCAATTCATATTTAGATCATGAACTTTTGGATATGGTCCTCCAAATGGTTTGCCTGCTCGATCAAGTCCGTCTAGAATTAGGAGAATTTTGTCCGCATTTTTTTGCACCCACCCTTCACCCGCTTTCTTCAATTCAGTTGGAAGGCCAATTAGTGGCGTAATTAACAAATCAAATGCGGTCCACTTTGTTTCGTGTTGGAGATCGGAAACAGAGATATAAAAGATCATTATAGTATTTTTCAGAACGTTACAACCCTTCTTAAAAAACATTTTTGCGTATTTCTTGGCCGAAATTGTTTTTCCAGATCCGGCGTCTCCCAGCAGCATTACATGGGTTCCTTTTAAGTCATCGTGTAATTGATCGAGACTTATTTGAATGTTATCCGTTCCAATTGCGTTTGATTGACCGAGAGCTTCGTTGCCAGATAGATTTTTGAAATTGGCCACCGTGAGCTTTGGATGAACTTCTTCTTCTAATCTGTTCAGATCTTCAAAAACTGATCGAACGTCATACTCAATGTCTTTGCGAGTGTTGTCGTTAACATTTGCGACAAATTCTGTTTCTGCAAATAGTCAAAAATTATGAAGTATTTGATTGCTAGGTTTAGCTTGTTACATATCAAAACGGTAATCTATATAGAAACAACATAATCTCTTTCCACGAAATTGTACTATCTCGTTCAAGCATCCTTGTGGCAACTAACACACACGGATCCGCAATACAAAGTAAATAAGGAGAAATGACTTGCAGTTCATTACACAATACCCTAATACACCAAATTATTATTTTTTTAATATGTTTTATTAGATTTCAGCTGAAAGTTTTCTCAATGTTCCCCACACTTTTTGCATTGGTATAAACCGGGGGTGTGCAACCTTTATTACAGTAAGGCCAGATACAAGTAACTAAGTGAAACCACGGGCCAATCCTTTATTTGCATGGTGAGTATTTCTGAAAAGAAAACTGCTGTTAAATTTATTGTCGTCACTCAAATTTGAACGAATTCAGTGAAAAACACGTTTTTATATTAGTGTGTATTTTGCAACTTGATTTTGCAAGCTAATCATACTCTTACAACAGTGGCACTCAGGTATTGGTATAGGCTCTGCGAAGCAACCATTCAAAATTGGCCCTTCTCCGCACACTTTCCTTGTGGGCTACATTAGGCCGCGGGCTGCAGTTTGCACACCCCTGAAATAAACCATCTAATGCAATGTTCAATTCAAATAATGAAGTCTTCACCCTATTTTTATCAGTGTTCAATGTTGTACTCTTGTTCAGTATAACAGTTTTTACTTGCAATATAAGTTGAAGCCTTAGAAATGAATACCAAATAAATAAAAATCAAAACAATCTAAACTACAATATTGTGCTAACAAAATTTTTTTTTTTTTATATTTGTAAAAAGTAACAGAATTAAACGTTTCATGCAGCGTTTTATTGAAAAGAACTATAAATTTACCTGCTGAAGTCGCAGATGTGTTTTCTTTATTCGAGCTTTCTTGTTCTGCCTGCAAAGGTAGCCGAGGAACGGGTTCACCTGCTTTGTATAAAAATTGCACAAATTTAGCGAAAAGAGATTAAATCATTTAAATTGGCGTCTTACCTATTGCGAAAATTTTGTAATTTTGCTGACAAAATTGATTTGGGACTCATAACTGCTATTAAAAATAAATATTAGTTTTACCGCTGCACTTTGTATAAATTCAATGTTTACCTTGGTATGTTGTCTGATGCGTGACATTCTCATATTTTTTAACTATTTCTCTGATTGTTGCTGTTGTTGCAAGATTATCTAGAATAAAACGTATTACTTTGAGCAATGGTGTAAGTTTAATATAAAAAAGTAAAGATTTGCTGAAGATGAAACAGCAAACTATTCCATTTAGCAATTATGTAAAGCTAAAATATCTCGTTTATTATTTGTCCTCATTTTTTGTAGCGAGTGATTACCGACCACACAAACTACATAACTAAATTAATCTTTTTATCATGATAAGCATTGAATTTGGAATATGTCTGTCATAAAAAGTAAATGCATATAATTTGAAGGCGCGATGAAGACAGGTAATATATTATACTTCAGTGTGTTGGCAACTCAGATAACACATTTATTATTAAAATTCCAGCCCACCCACCAATAAACTGCAATAAACTGGTTTTAGCAATTCCGAACAGAAAAATTCTGGTTCTCACGAATATAATAGTAGGTTTTTATATATAGTGAATACTTGTAACGAAGACCTGTTCAAAGCGATAAAAGCGAGTTAAAACGCGTCATAGAAAAAATAAATAAACCACTTACCAGTATTTTGTTTCCACAGTCGAAGCATGCTAAGCTTTTTATCGAAAGTCGTTTTTGAATCTTGCTCAATCATAGTAACGTCGACGCTATTCAGTGATAATCCATTGCTAGATCTTGCAAATTCTCTGAACTCGGATAGGCTGTGAAATGTTTCGATAATTTTGAGAAAGATGTCTTCAATTCTTTCGTCTGAAAATTCAAAGTTTTTGTGAGTATTATTTCTAGCATTGGAAGTTCTAGCTAGTTTCTTGATTGCATGTACAAATAATATTTTAAATTTTGCTCATTCAATATTTTCCGAGACAGTGTTGTAATTTCATTTAAAGAAATGAATTAAATACCTATTCACCTTGGACGTCCGATTGTGGATGTTGATTTTCTTTATAGTTATTAAGTATTCCCATGATAGGCGTCGTCGATGCGGAATCACCTAAATATAGTGAACACATTAATTAGTTCCGCCAAACCTGTTGCTCATGTAACAATCTTGTTAAAATGGGAAAACCTGATTCGGCCGACATAAATACTGAGGTGCCAAAATTTGAAATATTTATCATATTAAACGTAGAAAACACAGTGCACAGTGCACAGTGCACAGCATTTCATTTTATCGCCACCATGTTTACTTTTTGAAATTCTTACCAGCGTTTTCCTTCCACAACCAAAGCATGCTAAGCATTTGATCAAGGGAGGAGTATTTTGTATCATCTTCAATGGAGGTAACATCGCTCAAGCTTAAAGACAATCCATTTTTCGATAATGCGAAACGTTTAAACTCAGCGATGTTCAGAAACCTTCTCGGTAAATCGAGGAAAACATCTTCAAATCTCGCACCTGAAATATTTCAATGTGAGAACTTGAATTCATTCACTTTCTAAAATGTTATATTGTGTGTTTTTTGGGGCAGCCTTGGTTTTGCACCCAATTTTATTGATATCAATATTGTTACTGAATTGATTATTAAAAAGAATTTCTTTCTGTCAATCACATAGTGTCATCGGATATCCTATTAGAGGTTTTTCAGTATTGTATGTTTTGTCCTGGTTCTTTTAATGTTATAATAGACGAATATGCATATACTTTGTGCGTTTCTGTCTTCTTAAGTAATATGAAACTATGCAGAATAAAAAATAGATATATCAGTGTGGCCAAGGTTGTCAGCTCCGGGGACACAAAATAATTTTTGCATAAGGCCGCGGGCCACACAGCCTGATATAAATCATCCTAAAATATAGCAGGTAAGATTTTGATGGGTAATTCAACTCTTTATCAGACTATTGTGATGAATGAAAATCGTCTCATACCTGGTTCAAAATCTTCAATTACATCTTTTCTTGACTCGAGCCCAATGAAATTGTTAACAACTTCTTTTATTCTTTCCGCGGTTCCGTTTTCTCCTGTATTTATTTTAAGGAAATGTTCAAATCGCATATAGGTCACGAATATAATGCGATAATAATAATAACACAATATATGTTTAGAGCGAAAAATGATTAAGTAATAATTGTTAGTTTGTACTAGAAATTGAAAAATAAATTAAACCTTACATTGTTCCAAACCTTCTTGCTGAGTTGCAAAAAAGGTGAGGAGCAATTGTTTTAAATCAGGTATTATTGTGACAAAAATGAAAAAAGATTTTATTTATTAGTGTAAGTCTATGATGAAATATAGCTCTAGATGCCACTCTCGTCGCTGGGATAAGTTATATATGAATATAAATCGTCTAACCATTTTTCTCTTTCCAGAGGGATAGAACAGCATATTTCTGTTCATCTACTGATTCCAAGCTGTGATCCGTAATATCATAAACTTCTCGATAACGGAGGACGAGACCATTTTTCGATTGAGCAAATATTTTGAATTGTTGCAGTGGAAACTTGTCTATTGTCTCGTAGAAAGCATTCTCAAGTTCAGTGATTGCAGACTCTGTAAAAGTATTTATTATTTAATGCAAATAGATATTTTTATATGTAAAATAACGCATGAATATTTATTAGAAATATAGTAATTTATTATTCTAAAAAATTGCAGTCTAATGCTGAGAACATTTAGTTCCAATTTTAAAGTATTTTATATTTATGATCAGTGCCAATTTTATTTATCTCATTGATATTATTTAAAATTTCCATTATATTGGTTGCCGATTTAACATCAGTATTTTGTATTGTATTTGAAAAATGTTTCATAACTTTTCTGTAGTATTGATAATTAATACAAACTAAAAAATGTTTTTATCTTCGGACCGTCTGTTTTCGCGGTTAGACAGTTTTACCTAATCCCACAGGTAAGTATTCAGTTCAGGCAAATTTACTTTGAAAGAAATAACCAATTATTTGACTAATATGGGCGCCAGTGCTCGATAACTAGTATTGGTTTTCCGCGTCTCCTACACCCTGAAAAACTGCTTGTTTATAATTTATTCCAATTTCATTGTCTTGTGCCTATTTCCAGTACGGCGAGAAATAAACTAATGATTACTGATTGAATTTATTGATTACTTTTTTCAACAAAAAACGCTCCGCCACTCCAAAACAGGTGAAAATCCCCAGTAAACTAGTGATGGCATTTTACTGATGGCAAATTACTGAATTCCAGTGAAACAACTGTAAGTTGTTGTCCGATTTTAATTTAGCTCTAAGTCAATACGATCTGAACTAATATTCATAAACCAAATTTTGAAAATGAACTGAACTTTCGTGTTGCGTATTCATTTTCAGTATTAAGTGAACTGACCTTTTGGGCCAACACTAGATTCTCCATTGACACGATTTTGATCCGATGATCCTGGCCCCGGATTCTTCTCAATTCCGTGAACAACAAGCAATGCAAACACAACTGTCAGGATTGCTAAAGACAGTCTCGTAGAATAATCCGAGAGTTGTGAAACAGAAATCGATGTTCCCTTTTCTTTAGTTCTACAACCGCCTCGAAATAGACCGATTCTGATGCGGTACGTAGCCAAATCCACATTCGCCATTGTCACTATGTTAAATACTGTAGTCCTGAAAAAATATTACGAAAATATAACATAACAAGAGAGCTATGCTCAAATATATGGACACGTAAAGCATTTCACCAATTTCCGAAAATCATACCACAGTCCACCGTTCGATATTAAAAACCTCCCACTTTCGCTAAGCACTAGATCCACCGGAAAACGCCGAGCATGGAATCAGCGGATAAGCGTCCGCAGAACGTTCGGTGACGTCATAGTAAACAAAAAACGAATCCCACATAGCTAACAGAAATATTTAAAATAAATAAAAGTAATAGCCTTCTGGAAAAAAATTCCATCCTCAGCTACTGAAAATTTTGAAGAAATTGGTCCAGTAATCAAAGAGAAAAGCGGCTATTTAAGTTTTCCACTGGGTGTCAAAAATATTGCAAAACGATCGTTATGTCCACTAACGTGTCTAAAAATAAGAGAGCCAAAAATGAAGAGGATTGGCAGCATTGTGAACACAAAAATCATACCAAAATTTCTATTCAAGAAATTAACACATTGATAATCACTGCATATGCAGATGAGAAACAACACAAAAAAGAACAGGGTCGGCCAACCTTTTTGGCCGACGAGCAACATTTTGTTCACTAATAATTGCGCGGGCCATTTAACATGGTAATTATGTTCTAGTTTTGCTACACTGACTAAAAGTTAATGAAAAAACAAACAAAACTCTCGCACCAAACTTTCCCAAACTTTCTCAATAATAAGAAAAATAAAAAAAAACGAAGATACAATTTTTTTTTTATTTAATTCCGAAAATACAGCGCGGGCCACTCAAAACTCCTCGGCGGGCCACATATGGCCCGCGGGTCACGGGTTGGACGACCCTGTTATAGAATATGCCATGTGAAAGTTGCAAGTTTATTGTTCAAGCATGGGACGTCATTTGCAAATGTCATAAATCGTCACTGATTTACTGCGCAATTTTACCAGTCACTACACTTAGTTTTTTGCTGAAATCCACTTTCTAGATCAATGGTAAAAGACAGATTAATGGCAGAAGTACTGATTACATGGGTACAACACCTGCAAAAATTTTAAACAAAACGTTAACCTCAGTATAGTGCGCAGCATGGGGAACCATTTCAAAAATTTGCCTTACCAGGGCATATTGGTTTGAAGGCGAAAATCAAGCGGTGAATATTGAACGGTATATGGCGGTGCTGAGAAAGTGCTGGACATCATTTATACAACGTAGAAAATGTTGATTGACTTGAATTGTGGTTCCAGCAAGAAAGACGTCCCACACATATACCAAATCACGCCCTTGACTGGCTGAGAGTACGATTACTGGAGAAGTATATCAGTAGAAAGCGTGACGTCGAGTGGTCACTTCATTAATTAGACTGAACTCCTTAGATTTTTATTTGTGGGGCGTATTCATAAGAAAGTGTTTATGATAAAATTTCCCAAACAATTGTTAAACGCAAATCCGAAAAATCTTCATTCAGAGGTATGTGTGTGTGATTTTACAAGGAGTCGATTTGAAACATATTATGGATGAAACATAACTTTTGTGCAAATCGTCCCAAATTCTTAAATGTATCGGGTACAATCATGCACAAAATGGGTCACTAACGATAGTGAAGTACAAAGTGACTTGCGTGCATGGTGTATTTGTCAATTGCTTAAGCACCTGGACGTGTATATAAGTTAACTATAAACCTCAGACGAAGTTGTAGATACATTTCCGAAGTTGGAAAACAGGCTAATATTGAATTCATTTTGAAATTGAGCCTAACTACAACACTAGGAAACGTCGAAGTGAAATACATAAACATAATCTGCATTTTATGGCTTTTCCAACAAACATTGTCAATGCAAATTATATTTACAAAAAACGTAATAAAATATCGATTGGTACATCTTTGTTAACAAGAACTTTATTGCCTTTGTCACTTTAGCTAAAAAATAGAGAAGATTTGATTCCAATAAACAATTATATATAGTATATGTACACCACATTTTTATCTGTGATTATTTTTCTATAACTTCCTATTTATATATATTCCATGTTTCAAGATGTCTTTATTTATGTTGTAAATGTTTTTAAATACAACAGGTAATATATTCATTCTATTATATAATTGGATTGCTTTCAAACGTTATTTAAAATGACGAAAACAGAATAATATTCGTTGCCTATTTATTATTAGACCGAAAACATTACAAATGTTTACTCATTGTCAAACTTTAAGTAGATAAAGAATGATGTGTCTATAAAAAGCTATTAATTTTTATATTTCTCAGATTTCACATACGTTGCAATAAAGTAAGTTCAAACGATTATTCGCCGTCATGAATATGCGTTCACTATTCAAACAAGTAGCGTCAAAACTGCAGACGTATGACATTCTTTTCTACTTATGAACAAATAATTTTATCTACTTCAAACACATTTCAAGGTCTTATTTTCAAGTGTTTATATTTCATGAAGCCATTGTAGTTACAGTCCATAAGAGACGTAATAGAATAGCACTCTGTTGTCACCTAGTGGTGCAAATATAATTATATAGTTCTAATTCTAGCAGTATTGAACGACAACAGCGGGTTAAATTTGCACGGTTTCAAATACTTTGCCAATTGGAATTATGAAACATTTACTGGCATCTGTTTTTTTATTTTTCAATTACTTTATATTTTTGAAACAGAAACTTGGCATAATTCTAAATTGAACATTATTTGGATATTGAAATATATTTAAGTATAAAAATAAATTATCAGAAATTGTGGGGTTTGTACGTTTGACATGGAGATGCCTAACTTGGGCTGGCGTATACATCAACTGATAAATTGTTGCACGTGACAAGTATTATAAATGACTTGGACTGCTAGGACTGAAAATTCTACAAAATTATATTAAAACTAAATCACTAATTTTCGTTGAATTATAGGTGTAGGCTAAGTTCATATAAGTGTGAATTAAATACATTTATTTATGTTACAAATGTTCTTGCTCGTATAACTTTCAGAAACTTGCAGATAGATGTAAATCATGTGTAAAATTGTTTATATATCCTATTTTCCACGCTTTGTGTAATATTTGGAACCTTTGAGATAAGAAGCTTATATGTGGAAATTATTAGGATTGGTTGTTTCATTTTAAATATATCACGGTGACGCATATAAATTGATGATGAGAAAAATGATTTAAGCGCCAGTGAAGTACAGTCACTGGCGCTACATAGTGGCGGGGATTCTATAACAGAATTCTGAACAATCCATGTATTTTCAAAAAAAAATTTTTAAGTGACCGCAGGACCATTTTTATCTGTATTTAAAACTCTTTTAATTGAACTAGACAAAACCTGCTGCCAAAGATGACAAAGCATTATCATTCGTTGTGAGCATGAACATATAACAAGTCGAGCTTGACGTATCTTATAAATAACTTGAACTTATTTGTGCCAACTGGAAAATTACAAAACAGTGATAATTCTCAAAACTAATATTATAATATTAGTTATATCATTTCTATAATTAATTTACTAGTAAGTAGATCTAACAATATGATCAAATTCTAGCGATGTACACTTAATGGCATAGGAGAGCGGAAGCAAAACTTTTTTGATTTCGACAAAACTGGCTTCTCTATTCGAATAATGAAGCTATTATTGGTGCTTCCTAAAATTTTATTGAAAAACGAAATGAAATATTGAAGAAATTAAATCTATTATATAAATGTTAAATATTAGATTAACATATGTTACAGAAATAAATGAATTTGCTAAATAGTTGTAAACAGTTGGTGTAAAAGTTATGAAAAATCAAAGCGAACGTTACCTAAGAGTTTTTTTATCATCTAATGCCAATTATGGTTACCAAACAATATTTCGGAAAATATTTTCGATTAATCATTGACCACGCATGGTGAGAGCACATTCTTGTGAACCGCGGTCTTTTGCATATGTTCATTGCTAGTACACTGTTGATTCCAGATAGAACAAGACAATATAAACCTTTTATAAATCGTTTATTATATTTCTAAAACTACCTCAAGTTATAATATTATGTAATAGTATATAATATACCACTAATACAACTCCGCTTACTACAAAAATGTTAGTTACCCGCTTACAAAATTTAACTTCGGTGATTGCAAAACAAAGTTATCACAATGCTTATGAAGAAAATACTTTTTCTCCTATAATAGAATAAATACAAATGATATACCTATATAACAAATTTAAAACTGAAACTATTGAGACAATCTAGATAGACATTGTATGAGTAATTTCATTACTACTGGCAGAGGTTTATTCAGAAGTTTAATTCAACTACTGGTTCAAAGGGTGTACTATTTATTTTGCCTAGTTCAGCAATGGTGTACAAATATGACGAAACTATGTGGTATACAAAACTTGCAACTTGTATATTTCATCTATTGAACATAGAAGTAATTTAAAAATTGACACTTGAAACTGTTAACGAAAGCTTGCGAATGCGGCAATAGTAAATATCAAACTTGAAAAGTCAAATCATTTCTTATCTAAAATTCACCGTGTGCTATTTACCCTTGAATTGACACAAATTTTTTAATCCATTTTAATGTCGCTTGACCTGGAAATATTATAAGTGGGGATGTAAAGTTCAAACGTGCCAATTCCAAAATGAATTTCCAAATTTACAAGATGTAAATTATTCACAAATGTGGGCAGGTGTATATAATTTCTAATATACCAAGATCGTGAAAATAAAGAATAGTGTTAAGCGAGTCTGCTCAGTTTGACTAGGCTTTTCTGTACCAAAAATATTTTGCTGTCTGCAAAGCACCATAACTATGTATAAGTGACAAATAGTTGAATTTTAAAAAAGGATAAATTCAATCACTTATTACAAAATCGAAACAAAATACTAATTTCAATTACAATGCCATGATGTGTTTTTTTACGATATTGCATTAGGGCAAAGAACTCATTTATAAAAAATATATTGTTGACGACTGAGACTGTACATTTGAATGATTTTTTAAGAAGCACAATATTTTATTGTCGTTGAACACAATTGCTAAATTTCTGATCATAGGGTCAATATTTTCCCTTACCAAAGATAATATTATAGAATAAAATTTAGCATCAATTATTTGATTATGACAAGTATTTTAAACACTTTTCGTAAATAATTAGGTTTTACTGTAGCTATCTATTAGGAACTAATTCATTGGCTCAACGAAGCATGATAATTATAAATATTTGAAATCGCTCAATTCATGGCAATCTGCCTCGAAATCACTGAGCATATATGCTTTCGCGAAGTCACAAATAATAATTCATAAAAAAATGTCAACAACCTAGCAACAAGAAAACGAGAATATCGGTCAGAAACCGAAGACTTATCGATCGAAAGTTAGGGGATCCCCAAAAACAGCGCTCTTACTCCATTGTGATACCTTGTGTTCCATCACTAATTATTTAATAACTCGCTAATTATACGACATAATTCGCCCAAAATCAATAGGCTTCTGGTCCGAGATAAGATGAATGCACATGCAAAATCTGGAGCAGATTCAATTTTGCTTTCGTGAGATATCGCGTACATCTAACAGACAAACAGATATACAGACATACATACAGACAAATACCTATCAACATACTTACTGATTAAAATCGATAAGTAACAAAACTTGATGTTGTGTGTTAGCTAAGAAAATTAGAGAAGAAAATTTTCAACAAAAATAATTTAAAATATCTTTTTTAATAAAATTATTAAATAAAAGAGAGAGCTAAGCATAAATAGTTTTTTTTACATTGCCATTACCAGCAAACAAAGTTATAGCACCTCGTCATTGCGTCCTTTTGTTATGGATTTACTCTTTATTTAGCTCTTATATCCATGAACCCAAAAATGCTATTAAGTTGTATCCCAAAACTATATTGATATTTAAATTCTTGCTGCTACAACTATTATGATTGATACTGTATAAAAGCCAGCGAGATAGTTTCAGAATATTAACAATTCAACAAAAAATCTAAAAGTCTAACATTCAAGCTTCAAATACATTTTTTGGTTAAAAATATGTTGTAAAATGCATCAAAAATGATAAACAGGAGGTAACAACCATTGAATATCAAAAAATCAATAAAGCCTAACTATTACTCCAGAACTATTAATTAATAATAGCGAGGCTTGTACGGTTTTAAACATCCACCTATTGAAAAAACTAATTGACTTCAAATTTGAAAAAAATAACAAAATTAGATTCATCAGATTTTAGATATATATAGAACCTCTGGATATATATATATAGAATGTCTGTACATATTCAATAATTTAATTTATTCAGTAATTGCAACTCTAGTCTTATACACAATATTTTACAGATTATGTATATGTTACTGTTAGTATATATTTTGACAGCTGAGATTATTCCTAAAACCAAAAATCCTTCATCTAAATTTAACTATAGTGACCGCCTTTGACAAACATAAAAATGCATTTTGAAACTTATGCCTTACCGTATCAACAATAGGAAAGAGACATATTAAAGTCACTCGCTCAAAGCATTGCTCTGACCGTTACAAAAACTTGTTAATAATTAAACGTAAAGAATGTGTTTGTTTTTTAGCCAAGCATGAACTATCATGAAATGTATAAAAGTTACGCTTGGTAGATGTATGTTGAAATCTATTTGCTCAAGATGGCCCCGTTGAAATGTTTGTGAGGCAGCAGTTTCCGCTTTGTTTGATTTTGGTAAACATTTCCAAAAATTTGTAAAATAACCTTTATTCGTGTAACAACTCAACCACCCGTTTATTGTGAAAATTGTTGCCACTTATGTGTCAGACATCGTAGATATTTTATTCCTTAACACTTAAGTATGTATGACGAACAAATTCAGGACTTTCAAACATAATTTATGGTCTTCACATCAAGTTTATTACTAATGAAAACATAAGACAACGTAGCACAATGCTGCCACCTAATGTTCAAAACAGAATTCGGTCCTTACTAGCAATCCACAATTGTAACAAAAAAGCTCGTGTATCACTAAAGCCAATTTCACATAAAAACGTGCATCAGTTCAACATAAATTTTCAATTGTACAAATATGCTTATAATTCTAAATTACTGGATGGTCATTCCGGATTTTTTCAATAAACATGAACATTTGTCATACGCTTTAATCAGAAGACAATTTTAATGAAGACAGTTCATTTAGAAATATAATTATAACGAGAGTCAATATATTTAAAACTTCATCATACATTATATAAAAACATGGCGCAGTAAATCTGACTATATACGTAGTTATTGTACTTCGTGATTAATTAAATATAAGTTTAATAAAGAGAATGTATTCTTGCATGATTTATCCATTCAAATCAACATCCATCAAACATAGTAGTGTTATAAACGTTACAGAAAATGTAAGCCGCCCCAGGAACTACATAAATAGAAATCCTACAAAAGCAAAAAGCATCGCTTACATAAAAGTATTATGCAATTCAGAAAAAAAAATATAGGTTGGCATGAGAAGATAAAAGTAATTGCAAAGCATATCTTTTACTGTACTGCACGGCGCTTAAGTATGAACAATTTAAAAACATTCAAACAAAATATTATTATCGACAAAATAATCATAAAATCTAATCAATTGGTAAGTAAAATGTAACTTTATTTCAACACTGTCTGTTTATTTAAAACATATGTGAACTAATTGAATACACTTTCTTACGAAATTATAATGACACTGTAATGTACTGCTCTATGTTTTGAATTGTCGAAAAAAAAATTTATTTGTTATTTTGTCTATATCATCATTCCATTTTGCTATTTAATCTCTATTGCATACACCTATGATATTATTTGATTAATATCATTACGTCAATATAAACATAAATTATCAATATTGCAAAAATGGGCAACACAAAATTTTATTCAGGCTAATATTTTCAATCTTAATACAACAATTTGCACTTTGCTCAATTTGATTTTAGCTTTCACCTAAAAAGTATGAAAATAAGAACATTGTTTCGAATTAAATCATAATAGTAAGGATCATATTTATTTAGAGTGTTATTTTATTACAGTATTCATTGTGATTTAGAAACATTTTCAAATTAAGCATTGCAGCCTTTAAGACATGATCATATAAATTTGACAAGTAGTCTTTCAGCCCTTATGCTATTTTAAATAAATAGGCTCTTGTCATTTATTCAGTAATAACCAACTTAGCTATTAAATAAATAAAATTTATTATTGTGATTTGAAATCGTTCTCTATTAGGCACTTGTACTGAAACATAAAAAGCCCTTTTTGAACATTTGCTCTAACCTTAGAATATGTCAACTATTTCCATTGTATATACTTAGTTATTTATAAAAATCAAACAAACCTCTCTACTCTAATCTCAAACTTTTCTATTCAGTTGAAAGTATAATCATTAACACTTGATTTTACATTATGTAAAATTAATCAGGATACTATTTACAAGTTAATTTGAAATAACAAAACCTTGTTCTCGAGATATTCAAACAGGCTTTTTGCAGAAATATCAATGAAAATACCTAATAAATAATATACAATACCAGAATACAATTCTATCGCAATAAATTTGCTCTGCGCAATGTAATATTTCGTATTGATTTTGTTTTGCACCTTTGTTACTTTTGCTACTATAAGGCCTAATCGTCAGATTTTCTATTACAGATTGAGAAAATTATCCAAAATACAATGATAGTTTCCATTGCTTATGCAGCAATTCATATCAAGTCTACTAAATAAAAATTTTTATAAACCACTGTTGTATACGCGTCTGGCCATTGTTCACGTGTGACGAGAAGTCCCGAGAAAGTAATCAACTGCCAGACTCGCACGCGATCCGCATGGATACTTGCCTAATGTTTATCTGGCGTACGGTACTGCTTTGTTTTGTTTTACCGTTATAGTTGAAGTCTTATGTTATGCTGTATTAAATCTTGTGTGCATCACTCACTGAGTCTTTTCTAAAGTTGCGAACTTAGAACAGAACATATAGTACCACACATAGATACATTGCCTTTTCATTTGACTTCAGCTTCACACTCTTCTCATAAGGCGTTCTACCTCCTGTGTCAGAGCAAGGCCTAAACAAGCAGCACGGGCTTGTTAATTCAAATAAGCAATCGCAATAGCAGATAACAACCTTACTATGTTATATGCTTCAATCACATTTTTGTATAATTCAGTTGTTTTCTTCTCCAATTGGGGTTTATCATTCGACTCAGAATTGGTGAACTTTTTATTATGGTCATATATATATAAGATATTGAATACATGGTTATTTTGAACTTGTTAATGAAGTAAGTATACAAATAGTATTCCATAAATTGGTATGTATTGGTTAATCATCTTACGAGCTAAAATCACACTTTGAAGTACAAGAGAAAACTTTTAGTCTGTGATACTTACTCCAACAAATAATGTATTCGGATGTAAAACAATCTTCAACTACTTTATATAAAAATAGCCATAGTTGTATACATACACTTTTTTGAATTTGATAAAAGATTTGGGAAAAACAGAACATGCACATAACAAAAATCAACCTTTATTGAATGAGTTTTGTCACTGATGTTGTCGTTGAAATGTGATTGATCTCAGATAAAATGTAAGTTTGCAAAAAGTAATATCAAAAACGTGATCTAAATAACATCATGACTATCTCTTGATAGTTTCAATAAAATTTCAAACAACTTCGCAACCAAACATATCACATCAAGCTAAAAAATGTGATCTTAAACTATTATTTACAAAATATGTGATATACTTTTGAAACGAATTTTTAAAGGTCGTCTAAATTCATAGGTTTCCAGAATTATACCAACTGAAGTATTTAAACACAATTGTATTATAAAACATGCTTCGAAGGTCAAGGTTATCTCTTGAAAAATTTCTAAACATTATCGTCATTGAAGCAATTAAATTATACAATTAAATAAAATTTAATACAAATAAATACACGTGCATCGCTGCCAATATCGGTTGAACTTATGCCGAAATCTAAAAAATGTAACATTGGATAAAAAAAAATAGCACGTTTTTATTTCAACCAAAAACTTCATGCACTCTACACGATATTACAATTTTGAAAAACATTCGATACACACACAATTTAGTTCTTGGAAAAAAAACTAGAAAGCACGACCACAGTTTTATGTTTAGTCAAGGAGTGGCTTCATATTTGGTGGTTTTATATTCAGCTCGAATGGCTAGAAATAACATAAACGCAATGCTTACCGTTTTTCAACCTCAAGGAAAACACTTATTTTTGTATATTGCATTTTAAAAGTCTGGTACTTAGGTATTAAAATTATTATTTACATCATAAAAATAAATATTCACTTCCAATACGAAATGACAGAAGCCATTTTAAATTTTCGACCTCACTTCGCCGTAGGTATTTCCCTCGATTTAACACTCCTAAGAATTTATATTTTCATAAGTTTTCACGGTATTATCAGTTTCATTGATAGTTGATGTTGGTTCTTGGTAACATGTTGTATCGTTGTCGTAGGTATATGGGGATTCGAGTTCATTTGGCTTAGAACTTGATGGTGATGATACAAATGTGGTTTGATGGGGACTAACAATAGAAATATCGTTGGATGGTTGTTGGGATTGTGTTTCCACGTTTCTGTTTCTCATTCTAGAAAAAGACGGAACATCTTTGGAAAATATAGAAAAAACTTTAAAAGTATGAATACGTCCAGAATTTATTTTCATCAGATAAGAAATAGCGCGAAACCAAAACCATAACATTTGAACGTAAAAAACATTTACACGTTCGTTATCTTGACGGTAGAGCTGGAAATGCTCCAGCAATATGAAATGGTGCGATTTAAATGTGGCAAAATGTTTTTAATTCTGATATTCTATTCCACATGTTATAAAAGTGCAAATTGGGCTACAATGTTTTCAAAGTTAAAGTAAAAAGTGAATTAGCCTTTTGCTTTTTCAAATCCGTATTCCCGTTATTGAATTTCCAATAGGTGTATATACTGATGAGTGGTGGACCAACAATTAGGTATTTTACATTTACCAATGGTTGTGTGGCACTGAAAGCATTTGTATCCTAAATATAAACAACTCTTCAAACACAGGGTGAAAATATATCAGAAATAATAGAAAGAAAAAAAATCCATACTTTCTAATTATCCAAAAAGCAATTACTGCCAGAGCAATTCCAATTCCAACACAAGTGACAGAAATGACAATCGTTGAGTTGGTTCCTGAAACAATAAAATTTTATGAATCTTTAGTTTTTTATTCATTGCCTGTGTTACACGAATAACGTTGCCGTTTCAAATCTTTTAGATTTTTATTAATTAGTATGTGCGGGAAATGAAGATTAGTCTATCCCGCACCATTTTTGTTTCGTCTTTAACAACATTTCTTTCAGTATAAATTCATTCAGTTGTACAGTAACGATTTCTCCCAAGTTAATTGCGTAGTTTTTTTTGGAAGTTGATATTTTAATGGAAACTGGAATGTAGACAAAATTTCAGTTTTCTTCAGAATTACGCCGGTTCCATAAAATGTTAGAATAAATTGCATGTATGCGAATAGAGTGAAATTACCATTTCTATGTTAGTTACGTTAGTTGGAAATCCAGGGACATTTTCCATTAACAGCATGTATTTGCAAAGAAGTACAGAACTATTCGACATGACATATATTACGATATATAGAATTCATATTGATTTCATGTAAACTTGTATATTGAAGCAATCCAGGATTTAAGTTTGACTGTTCACCTCCATTCCAAAAATAAATTAGAATTAAATTCACTTTCATACATACCGATCTCACAATATTTTCCGTCAAACCCTTTTAAACATTTACAGATCTTTTGACACCCAACAAATACGCAAGTTCCGGAATACATACAGGGAGATGGGGAACATATATCAGTGACTGAAAAACAAAATACATTTATATTGTTGCATTATTTTCATGAGAATAAACGTGTATGGCATGAAAGAAAAACACACATTATATTTGAACTTGAACGAATAAATGTTAATGGAAATTTTTACTGAAAACGCGTGATGAGCCGGAACTAAGAGCCTCTTCTATGAAAATGTATGGAAATTACATGATGATATAAGAAATTGAAGAAAAAATCAGTGATTGTGAATTAAAATTGCTACTTTTTAAGTTTAGTGTCAAGTCATTAAGCAGTTCCATCGCGATTAGTCACTCATATGTACAAAAAAATTTTACTAATTGTTTTCTTATATGTAATATTATCTCTTCGTTTTCTGTGTTTATAATTTAGCAAAAGCAAAATGTTCAAAAATGCTCGATCATTTAGATTTGAGTTTTATCATATATATATTCAAAAATTCTGTTTTCGCAATTAGTTGATTGATGAGTATTTCACTCTCGTTTGACAAATATTGAATCATTTTCTTAACAAACTGTGTAACATGCCGCTATCCTTTGCATGGAATGTCATAATATTATAAAAGAATAATTTTGAAAAGCAATATGACGGCAAAATATTTTAAATCTTACCTGCTACCTCACATATGTACCCGATCTTTGTATTTTTTTCAGTGGCAAACCAATGCATACGGTTCCTTTGTTTATTGAGATAAGAGCTAAGAAACATATTGCCTGTTTTACCGTCGAGAGTGCCCTGCCATTTTGAATTTTTTTCTGATATAGACACAGCTGTACCATCATCCCATATCCACGAATTATTAACTTTGTATCCACCAATCCAAAACTCAAGTGTTGTTCCATTGGCTCCATATTGTGCTATTATTTGACTTTCGACCAAGTTTTGTATTTCTGTTGTTTTCATCATTGCAACCGCTCCCCCAAGCTCTTTACAAGTTGAGTTCGCATCGGCGAAGGTTATTTCGTCGTAAAGGTTGATGTGATATTTGCAATTTTTAGCGGTGTTGATAATGAATCTTCTTTCTGCAGAAAATTAAAAACAAGTTAATATTTAACAATTTCTACTTGAATGTTTGGTATTTTCGTTCTTTCGATTTTGATTGGCAAAATACCGGTTTTATACGATTTGATGTTTTGCAGAATTACATTATTATATACAAAATTCATTTTTTTCATGTGTAATCTCAAAATTTTGGATTTATCGATAGAATTTTTTAATAAAATATCGATTTGCCGATTTAGACATTCGTATTGATGAGACAAACTGACAAAACAATCAAAACGCATAAAAACACGTGGTAAGGTCCTATATACCTTCACATGATGTTCCAATGTAAGCCGCTCGACAGGTACAATTATAATATGGAGTCGTTAAAGAATACGTGCATTTTTCTCTGATTTTACAAGGTAATAAATCGCATTCATCTGTAGTGTTATTGAGGACAAAAAAAGCAAATTAGTGAGTTATAAACATGTTCAAACTTTTCGGTAGAAATAGCGTTTCAGCTGAAGTCAGCAGAGTGTGCATTCTATTTTGTGATATACATTCAGCCAATATTTAACCATTCTTTAAAAATTTTGGTTAAAACTTTGATCGAATTATGGAATACAATTCATAATCTGGAATGTTCTTTTTTATCAATCTACAAGCATAAACATTGTACTTGTTTTGCATGAGTTTTGCACTTATTTACGCCACGCCTGGGGTTTTTATTTTCCGAAATATAAGCAGATATTCTCATCAAATTTTTCTGTGACTGTAAGCTTGTTTATCAAAGCTTTAAAAGCCCACCTTTTCAGAGCACCCAAACAAAAATATGCTATGAAGCACTAACTTACCTGTTACAATGATATCTATGGTAACAGTTCTCAAATAGGATGGTTTACTCAGCGCGAAAGCCACACACGTGTAGGTGATTGTCGATGACGGAACAGTGATGGGGCCGACATCTATTGTCAATGTGGTTGAGGGATTTTCATTGCCGATCCCGAGTGTTTTGTTTGTGTAAATCATGGCATTTTTTTCATTTTCAACTGTAACATTCACGTTTCCAAGGTATGATTCTATCTGCAAAGTGATTTTTGTACTTTCACCTCGTTTCAGTTTTACGATTGTCAAAGTTGTCGATATAAACAGCGTTTCTAAAAAAAGTAACCTTAATAAATATGAGGTATTTATAATACCCTAAATATTTTTATTAAAGAATTGACTCCGTTTTGTTTCGCATTTACTGAAAAAGTCAAAAGATTGATGAATGGCTCACAAAGAAAAAGATACAAAATAATTGATATTTGTCTCAATCTGAACCGCAAAATAACATTTTGGCCCAATTCAAAGTCCGCACTCATAAAACATAAAACATAACAATTTTTTTGGAATGCATTTAATGCTTTCACAGAGAAGACACAGAACCTTATCGTTTAATTTATCTACATTAATTTGGAACAGAATGTTAAGAAATCAAGGATGCTTTGTGTAAAAACCCCAAAATTGCATATAGAAAGTGCCCGACATCACGGAACAGACTAGTTCGGGTCAAGTTGAAAACCGGAATCACCAAGAGAAGTAAAATCAGGTTTCTATAAATGCAACAGGAAATCATGATTCACCTGCAAATATTCAGAGGAAACTAAAACAAGCACTAGCAGCATCACAAGACTTCAAATGATCATCAATCAAAGAATAACGTGCACTCCGGAAAATGTCAGATACCTGACAACCTGTATAAAGTGCGGCATGCAGTACATCGGCGAAACAGGCAGACATTTAAAATACAGAACACCATTCATTCAGAACAGCATCAATCAAAAAAACGAAGATCTTGCAATTGGCAAACATACCAATCAATCAGGCCATTCCATCAACGGCCTGGTAATCGGGATAGAAAAACTATATCGAGATCAAATATACCGGCACACGAAAGAAACCTATTTTATTAACAAATTCAAAACATTAATTCTTCTAGGGATGAATTTAAGAGATGGATAAATTCACAATTTATGCTAATTTGAACATTACATTTCATTGTCACTTACACTTGATTTCTATTTCGCGGTTTAAGTCATTTCCTTACATTGTAGCCATGACCCACAGTCATGGCGATACCACGGTCGGAGTTACGGGATAACAGCATGAAATTGTTTAATTTTCTTTTTTAATTATTACTCACTACACTGTGGTATATTTAATGATTTCAAATCAAATTTAGCTTTCTTATTGTTCTGCCACTGTCCCGATTTTGTTTATATCTCTCTATCGCAAACAGACCCAACATTTGGAACCAATATTTATGTGCATGCATTTGCGTTTCTTGGTATAGTTGTAAAATGCTTGCAATCCAGTTGAAATCGAGGATGTGGGAATTTTTATCAGCCCTTCTTTTTTTCGAATTTCAATGATAGAATTCATAAATTTATTTAAAATAAAGATTGCAGAACGTTTTTCAATAGTGCTAGTTCTCTTATCCGGCAATAAAAGATCAATTATTTTTTCGCAATGAAAATGTTCTATAACAGTGGTTCTCAAATAGGGCAATACATTGCGGACTGATTTGAGATTCTACGTGACCAAAATGGCGACGGTACATAGAAATTTGATAGCCATTGATCTGAACACATATAAAATTGTAATCACTGTGCCACTTTCAATTCCAGATCAATCACCTCGCTGACAAATATATCCAGTAAGTCCAGTACATTCAACATCAACCCATTAAACTTTTCACTTGCGTATTTTAGCAAACAGTTTTCTTTTCTGCCTCCACTTGGTTCCTCTGCACCTGGCGACCATATTTTCCTGAAAATATAATACGACAAAAATTCAAAGAAAACCCGAATAGTGATTCACTGATTTTGTTACGTCCATTTATTTGACTCATTTCAGGGCCTGTTCATTTATTTCTTCGTGAAACACAATGAATATACAAACTCAGTAATCCGAACAAAATATGTCTGTGGATAGTGCACATTATGTTTGGTTGTTGGCTTGTTGCAAGCAAAAGACCTCAAAAATGAAAAATATTTTTCCAAAAACAAGTGAACCTTTTTTTTACGTTTCTAATCATCGTAATTTGTCATCATTACAAAATTACAGAACCCTCTTAAAATCTTCAACATCATCTGATGTAATGAGACTAATTTTGAATATTGCATAAAGGCCTTAGGTATAAATAAGATTTAGGTTATTTCATCACTATATTCATTATACAAAAGACTCACTAAAACAATAGTTACTGCACAAATTGCGCCTAGTGTTTATTTCTTACAAATCATTTATTTGTTTCACCTACTATCCGGGAATATCGATGTTAGTAAAAAGGGTAAATTTACCAATTATCATCATTGATATCTATCGCTGTCCCATTTCCCCATTTCCAAGATCCTTCTGTTTCTAAATCGCTTCCACTTGTCCATAAATTGGTGCTGCCACTGGAAAGATAATATGTAGTTTAAAAAATGAAATATGAATTTGAAATATCAATAAGTTAGATTGACAATCGTGTAGCTATTAAACCCTTTGTAATCGGGCAATCTCAAGGACTTTTGACACCTTTTATATAAACATTTTTTTTTCTATTTCTATGACGTATTTTCTCATTCAGATATATATAGCAATAACCTATTATTACCAGATCATACATTGGGAAGGCGTAAAGTGATTATTACTTAGAAGTTACCATCAGGCATGACCCATCAAATTAATTTTGTCATTCTGGTCGATGACGTGTCAAGCTGCGAGACGTACCATTCTGGCTTGCTCTTGGAAGGGGCCTAGGGGCATGTAATTAATAATTTGGAGTCCAGTTATGACCCACGTGACGCAGGGTGGCAAATTATAGTTGGGACGATCCAAATGTCCTCAATTTCCAAAAAACGTTATCATACGTTGTATATTTGCGCTATAGATTGCTCTTTGCATACTGTCTGGATTTCTGATTATGATGTCAATTTTGTTTTTTCTTCTACTCCTGATTTTGTGTGACGCTTTTGCTGTTAGTGCCTGTTACGTTATAAAATTATCGATATTCTCGCATTGAGCTGCATTTTTCTGGCATCATGTTTTGGCATACACCATAAAAGCCTATATTTCTTTATACTGGTGATTCGGTAAAATTAAAAATATCAACATGCAATAATAAATATTACTATATAGAAGTGAGGTAAAACTTGAATAAACACTGATTAATGTCCAACCTGGTCAATGTATTTTGAATGCATATTATCTCTGTTGTGTATTTGGTATTATGCGTGAGCAATAATACGATTACCAACAATGACTCAGCACCAATGATTTTTGCTAAGGAAACTCGAAATCTTTCCAAACCTACGCATTTGTTCATAAACAATATAGTCCAAGTCCAATAAGGTACTTGAAGTTTCGTATGTCTATATGTCGTTGGATCAGTAAAGTAAGCAGGGGTATTATTGTTACATCGAGAATCGCATTCACTTGATTTTTGTATTGACTTAAACATTGCGTCCGTTTACCTTGTGTAGTAATTTGTTTGTTATTGTTGCCGCCGTAATTTCCCTTGATTGACTGTGTGCTTCTACACACTCTATTACGAAACAATTGAGAGAGTCTACGTGGGCAATTGCTTGCCCAGACATGTCTCGCTTAGACAGGGATAGTTTCGGTAATTTTCCTTGGATAGCGCTTTACTTTTGTAGAGAATGGCGCTCGTTTCGTTGTAATTTGTGAAGTGAAATTGATATAGCGGCCTTGGCATTCTGTTTTGACATTAAAACGATTAAATAATGTAGATTATGGCTGTTCTACATAGCCTAATTTAAGGATATTTTATGAGCATTATATTGTCTTTGTGATTGTCTTTACAGTTATAGTTTATTTAATTGATTTGTTCGGACTTCATTGACGAATGACTTCTTGTTCAACTTATGATAATTTGAGCCTGGAATAGCAGACAAATTCGGTATGGTATACTTTGTAATTCTTTCTGATTTGAAGGCTGCAAGTTATTTAATAATAATTTGGTTCGACTTGTTAATTAACTATGTTTGGTAATTGTGAGTTGGCTTTTTAAAGGCCGAATTGTGTATGAATATTTATTCATTGCAAGTATGTTGTATTGATTTGGTTTTTACGTTTGTATTAAGATAACCGTGTCAACTGTATACTTCGAGTTGTGTGATTTTCTGGATTGAGGATACAAACTTGGGGCTTGAAAGACCGCGTTATTGAACTGTTAATAAATATCTAGTGTGCAGTCGGTGTCGTCCAGGTCACAAAGAACGGCTGTTACAATTATTAAAATTCGCCGATAATCAATACGAAATTTTTTAAATAATTTTTTAACCTTAATCTGTCGTTGATGAAAGAATCGAAAGCATCTGTTTTTATCTCTACTAGTGTCGATCCGTTTTTAGCACAGGTTTGTTGAGACTCAAAAAATGTTTTTTCAGGACTTGATATGATTTGAAGTAATAACTCATTGTTGAAGATGATCCAAGTTTTATCTACAAAAGGAGAACATGCCACTTTAACGTAACTTTATTCTCTATGTTCCAGAAATCAATTATTTTCATTTTCAAATGAGATTAACACCGATATTCGCAAAAATCTTGATTGCGGAAAAACCCATCTAGTCTGATAGTTTTACTTGCAAAGAAAATATTCTTTGTATAATTTTTAGGGTCGCGGGTATTTTTCAAAAGCTTTAATTTAAGCAAAAAATCTTGATATGACACCACGATTATAAGGCATCTCCTCATTCAGAGAGCACACCTGGCGTTTGGACAAAATCTTATTTTATGTAACAGTCGGTCTTATTCTAGAAATTTGGAAATCTTTACTCTGGAACATTGTTTTTACAGTTTTGTGTGACACTTGAGAAACTATGTTTTGTCATTTTATTGGCAATAAGCTTCAGGAAAAAGCATTCAAGTCACTTGACTGTTAAAGTAAAATTTAAATATGTGTCCACGGGACGTATCATGTTTCTGCGTGTATGGAAGTGAGATTATTAAGACCAATCTTGATTATTAATTAATAACTTGTTTGCATTGTTTGCATTGTTTTCTGCTGCAAATTTAACACAATAAGGTTTGGTGCGATTTACGTCACATTAATAATATATATTACCAAATCATGAATAAATGTGATAATGCAAACATACCTGATTGACAAACATATCGGTAACTAGTGTAGCAGTCGTGATCAATCCATTTTTTATGAGATGATCGGAAAACTACACAGAAGTTATTCCATGTAGTTTTAACTTCTCGAGGCCACCTGAAGACCCTGAATGAATATAAAGATACAATTATATTGACTTCTCTGATGTTTAGATTTTGAGTCCGAACAGTACTTGAAGATATACCTATACACAGTTTTAGTTAAACCAATACACACCTTACAAATTACGCTTTAAATTGATCTGCTCAAATAAGTTTCTTTTTCGATAAACTTCTGAATGCTAACCACTATCGATCAGATCATAAGGAGCATATATATATGCCCCATTACCGCATTGATGGCGTTTTGCGATAGGGATTTGTTCAAAAGGAATTGTTTTAAATCGAGCGTTTTTTTGGCTGTTTTTGTTTTGAAATGCCCGTGTTAATGATTTTTTTCGTATTGATTGGGTCAAAACTAAAACAAGAAAAATGGAATGAAAACGTGCAATATTCGCAATAAACCCTCGAACACGCAACAAAATCGTTGGCAAGCTGTAGCACAATGCGTCCGCACAGTGGTTCGCGGAAGAAGACGCAAACGATAAGCCATGTACGTGAACCACCCTTCGACTGCGTGAAGTCCAGCAATCCTCTTGTACCATTTGTCATTCTTATTCGTTAATTTCCACAATACACAGTATATACCATCTTGAACCTTCTTAGACTAAGACTAGCTCAATGATTCCACGTTATAAACTAGAAACTCTTATTATATTATTACGGTAATTATGTACGTTGTGTGGATGGAACTTGCATATTTTAATCAGCGCTTAAATATCTTGAGAAAATAGATTTTATTTGGTAATGACAGAACGAAACATGTTCCAAAGCTAAGCTTGAATTTCTTACAAAAGTCTTTCGGTCTGAATTTTTAGAAACTTTAACTTTTATCTAAAATTGGGGTAAAACTATTGGGGGGTTTGTGCTATACGTATACATAAGATACTGGTATAATTGAATATACACATGCTCAAACTGTGATAATGACATAACAATTGCCGGTATCTTGAACGCAAAAAGGTAAACACATAAAGTGTTAAACGTATTAGTTTTTATTTACGAATAAAGTTTAACCGTTAAACTATTTCACTTAAGTTCGGCGGGCCATATATAATCGTTACGCGGATTGTGATTGGCCCGCGGACCGCGGTTTGGAAACCCCTGCTATAAACAATAAAGAAATTTACTAAATTACCAAAATGAGAAGGGGAAATTAAAACAAATATTAGTATTTTTAGTCAGCTCCACGCTCCCTCAAATAATTGTCTACTCCTCACTTGCGGGGCGGGCGCACCTAACCCATACTAAAAGTCATTTCATATTTTCCCTAATTGTTTTATATTTTTATTTATGTTATTGGTGATCTAAAATTATCTATATGTTTTTCATGAGGTTTTTTCTGTTAAACATTGTCGAAAATAAATTGCAGCTCGATCATCCATCGGTATCTCGAGAACTGTAAAATATAGTTTACAAACCTTGGAGCATGCTCGCTAGCAAATAAATTAGAACATGGAATAAAATAACTCCATCGAAGAGAGTTCAGTATGACTAATAAACTCCAATGTTATAATATGATTCAACTACAAAAATAATATTCAACTTAAGTGTTACATACTTTATATTTGTTTCCAAAATGCAAATAGGTAATGTAAAAAAGTATGGACGAACAAACCAGTTAGTATAGTGTAATTTATTAATGTTGTTCCATCTCCAACCGCTGTCATGGTGCAAACCAATCCATATATTATACCTAATAAAAAAGAAAACAAAATACAAACACTTAGGGTAATGTTTATTATTTTTAATTTTTAACACAATATTGTACAACTAACCCAATTTTCGCAATTTATAATGCAATTTCAATTTAAATGAATGTTTAAATCACAATTTTATCACATTGCATCTCTGGCAATAACATGAATACCGGGTCTAAAGTCTGCGTAAATATATATATTTATTAACACAGTCGTCGAAAACTGCCTTACAATTCAGTGTCTATTAACTTACGTTGTCTCACTTATCATTCTGTTCATTGTGTAGCTTGCAAATTTTATCTTATAAACGTATTATCAGCAATATAAGTTAAATAAGTTTCTTTCATACAAGAAGGGGGTTATATTAACATTTTATAAACTTGCAATTTAGGTGTTCACGTCTGAGTACCAGGTTAGGGGATAGGCCATCATTTTATTCCGATTTTCCTCATTATAGTTCTATTACGGGTTCGGGGACTGTCTGTGCCATTGAAACCCTGTGCAACCTTTGCTATCCCCTGAGGTACTTTTTATACGGGAATATACGAATAACAATACCGCGTGATTTATTTATCATCTCTCTCTGCGCGGTTTATGTTAAATAAATAATGAGTTCCACTCACTCAGTAAGCCTGCTCACTGCAGCTTGAGTTTCTTCATCTTTTATCTCAACAAGCCATGCATTTCTTCTTTCACACACAGTCTTGGCGGCATCATATGATTTTTTTTCGGTAAATAGTTCCAATCTATAATTTCGAAAATCTGATGTTCCTAAACAATAGGAATAATAATGATTCAAAAACTGAAATTAAAGAAGAAACAAACATGCGGTATGTGACGCCATATAAATTATGTTCAAAGAGTCGCAAACAACTTTATAAACGTAATATTTGTTCAAAAAAGAAGGTTTGTATATGTTTTGAGAAGCAAAATGAAGTCCACTTACTTGTTGGGGTTTTTGCCTGAGTCAGATTGAACAATGAAATCCAAATCAATAAAAACCACATATTACCTTCTACATATACTGCAAATCATATTTACACTGTTTGTTCTTCGTAAAAAAATAGTTTATATTAATTAAGATCATATTTAATTTTATTGCATAATCAGTTACATTCTGCCCTAATGCCAAATAGACTTTAGATAAACAAATTAGAATCTTAGATTTTTCAATTGTATATTGAGTACTATTTTGGCAGTCATCTCCGTACAATATGAAAATGGCCATGGCTTTTGACAACAAATATATAAATGCTGTTCGAAACAGTTGTGCAAGCACCAGTCAGAATACTGAAACTGTTTTTATGCAATTCACATTCCTACAGGAATGAATTGAAGCAATCTATAGACACGAGAAATGAATCAGATTTTGTTTTGTATTTCCATGACAATGCACGCAATTTAGTCAATGATTGTTTGATGAATATTTAGATGTGATCAGCGTCATTGTATACCAAACACTTGATGAACATATTTGACTGCTTGCTGAGTTCACAAACACTTCCCACTCTTTCCTTCGTTATAGATCTGAAACGAGTCCAATGTTATAGATGTATGGATGTATATAGTTCATCATAAATTATAAAATGCAATGAGTGCGCATGATGCTATTGAGGTTTTCCAGAGTGTAATATAGTGCGTATAGGTCTAAGAAATGAAACTTACGCATTTTTGAAATTAAAAATACAGAGTTGAAGCACTTAAGGTAAGTAACTTAAGGTAATCCTCGTCCTTGGTAAGGTAATGTACCATATCGTTTATCTGTAGGGCACCATCGGAGTTCGGGATAATAAAAACTATTGTTACGGCTTATACACGACTCCGTATAAGTTCTCTATAACTTTCGATTGCCGAGATAATGGTGGCATGAATTTGTAAGCGCATAAAAGGGAATCATATGAGTATTACTGTTAATGAAAAAAGTGATTCACTTCATATATTAGGCATGTAAGTGTGTTTTAATCAATTTTCACTGTTTCAAGCTTTACACAAAAAACCCAAATATTTCAATGACCGACGATCAAAGCTTGGTTACCTCTCTAAAATATAATATTCATGATTAAAGTGATTTTTAATAGAATTGCGATTTTTAAACATGATTTTATTCATCTTCATCGCTTTTAGACATAGCTATTTTTCTTGCTTTGTGACTATCATCAATTACATACATTTTTTCTATAAGGTAATAAGTTCTTAAAATAAAGAGGTAAATTTTAATCAACATCAATCTATCACAAAATCTCACAAAAATGGGACATTCACAACTGTAGAAAATTTCGTAATACATAACTCTTGAATATTTAGCAAATAGAATTTACAACTACTATCAACTATACTGACTTGTTGCGTACCACACCTCATACAAAGACTTTATGTAAATGATGCCAAAGCAATAGGCAGTACCAGTGTGGGTGTTTCAGGAGGAAATATCAGTTGCGTCTGTGTGCATACCTGCGCAACATAATATACTGCACATTTAATACCTATGCAATGTAATCAAAACTATAATATTATGATAAATGAAATAGAAGGTTATTAAAAAAACTTAGTCAGAACACGATGACAAAACATCGTTTTGCTTTAGTCAGTTTGTTATTTTTCACAACATCGTTAATGTTGGAGCCAGTGAATTATAAAGTATTTTTTGCGTGGCGGTAAAGCTTGACAACAATTTTGGCGGGTCACTTTTATACAAACGAACTTAGGTACAGTTATAAGCATATGTAATAAGTATTACGAGATACGAAAATTTATTTGGCATATTCTAAAACAAAAGTGATGCTATTTCATCGAGATCTGCTTTTGTTGCTGCCCATCACCTGTTTTCAATTCGGAGACATGGTCGACAGTGATAGGCTACACGTAAGATGTTGCTTACGTTCAGCCTATTTCGTCGTTGACAAGACCATCTCATCGTTCAAAGAAGGTATTGACGTGAAAATTATTTGTAAAGTCAGACATGCTGCTCACATGCGTTGTGTTTGTCTACTTTGCTATTGGGTGATCTTTTTTAGTTGTAGGGTCTGTGGTTGTTAGATTGTAAAAGGTATTTTTGACCTTGTTCATTTTTGTGTCACCCTTCTGCTGACTGCACCCTTCCGGTAGTAACCTTTCCGCGGACCGGCAATGGGCCGCGGCCCGGTGGTTGCCGACCACGGGACTATATATTATATATCTATGCAGGCCGAAGAGTGATGTTTTATCAGTACAATTTCTACTCATTGTAACTTTAAGCATCTAATGTAAGAACAACATTTTAGGAACAGAACAGAATTCAGCATCTTATGAGCGGACAAATAGTTTTAACGCTTTTTTTCCAAGGATGAAATATACGGAAACTATTACATAACAAGAAATACCCAGATTAACATTAATAGAAGGAAATCACCGCATAGCGTTTTTGGCAATGCCTAACTCGTACATTGAATAATAAATGATTAGTAGAAGAAATCACACTATGATCAAACAATTCATGTTTAAGAAAGTGAAAATACCCTGTGACTGAAAATGAGCTTACCAGGTAATGAGAATAGGGGAACGGGGAATATTTTATGAAAGAAAAAGTATGCAAACAAAATCACATTAAAATCAATTTTGCGCATAGCAATGTGGCTCCCTCCAGCTAGTATGTGGCTTTCTTTGAGGACCACGGGCAAACCGCTGTCTTAGCCTGATGAGTTACTGTTGATGCTCTGTCTGTTCGGAATAACTGGCAACCCTACCACCCAAGTCCACGCGTTTCGTGGTACCCCGGAGTTTGCTTATGTTACGTGTTCGTGCATGTTGTAGTTGAAGAATTTAACTTGTCGATATTTTAGAACATCACTCAAGTCAACCAGTTGCTGTGTGTCTGCGTGGACCTCAAATGGAGATTCACATGCAATGTATCCTGTTCTTTTGGTAATTCGGATGTACCGGCACCGACTAACAAAGCGCTGAAATAAAACGTGAGTGTTGAAGGTTTTAATGCATTTATAAGAGTTTCGTTTATTTTGGAAATCATATCATAGAGTTTCGACAATTATATCGTGACTTCTTATGTTAATATTGGTACGTATGCGTTATTAGTTACACTGATTCCGTATTTTAGGAAAGTTTTCAGTCAGAATTTATGTCTCGTGTAGTTAGGTACGACAGACAATCCTTGTGAGCGTTGCCAAACAGTTTTTGCATTGTTATTTTGAACATGTTATTTTGGACTGATACCCGTCATTTTATTAGGACATTTAAAATTGACGCCAGTGCGGTGTCACAATCGCGCAACAGAGCTTTTCAAATTAAAGAGGCGAATGCCCTCAATGGTTCCGTTACGATAAATACAATGCCACATGACATATGCTAGCAATTCTCGCGAGTTCAAAATAAACATGACGTTAACGAAAGCATCACTTTGTAAAAATACCAAGTTGAAATTCTTGAGTTATTACTTTCCCTGTAAAGGTTCTTAACATTTTACCTTTAAAAAAGTCTTACGCAAGCAGAAACAAAATTATTAATATTCAGTGTAGCAACACACTCATAATAAGGCTTAATATTTAGTACCACATCTATGATAACTTGTAATTTTAATTCCATTGATAGATGAAGTTTGGTACCACACTCTTGTCATAAGGCCTTCTACATTTTCATTCAGAGCGAGCCATTAGACAAGCAGCACAGGATTATGAATTTCGGAATATAGCAATCGTGGTAGTTCAGTACCACATACTTAAAAACGTATTATTTCACTCACAGCGATGGATAGGTGAAGTATTGTAGCACATTCTCTGTTTCCACTCAGAGTAAGGCCGCAGACAAGCTGGAATTCACCTACTGGTTTAAATATCGCGATGGGCGTATGGGGTAAAAATGTCCCTATCTGCGTGCCCTTACCCCGTATCATTATTATACATACGTCAGCGGAGTAACCCCCAATCTATAGGTCAGTAAGCACACAATATATTGTAATGCCAGATGTTCGTATTTTGTAAAACTGCACGGTCGCATTTAATCCAAACAGATATATTGAACTATACACTTAAATCTTAATACCAGCTATACGGTGAAAATCTAAATCCGAAAGAATGCACGAAACATAAAAAAAACACTATAATCTCAACTCGCGCATGCAGGACGGAAACTCGTAACAGATCGGTTGATATAAAAAAATCTCTGCACAAAGAGTAAAGCCTTTGCTACAATAAATCACCATCAGTGAAATTGCTGAAATGACATATTTTCATTATATTCACTTACTATTAATACGAAAGGGTTAAATAATATTGAAATCCATAGTTATATTTCACATTCGCTAAAGATGTAGTATAAAATTATAACAATAACGTTGTATTATTTTTATTCGATGTGTGGAGTATCGTACCAAACTTTTCATATTAAATGTTTCTAAGTTTTTTTTTTAAAATAGCCCCAACGCAAGCAAAAACGAAGAACAAACGAATGCAAAGTGTAAATGCGCAAGCTATGCTAAACTGGTTCTTTTAAACTCATTAGACTCTCTCCACGATTGAATAATTACATGTGCATATCAGCAAATACTGTTTGAAACATATACTAAAATTTACACTAAGTAACAATGATCAATATGTCGGTCCTGTGAGTTCTGTTTCAATAAACTCAATCTTGAAAAGAAAACATAGCAAGTCAAACAACAAATTAATACAAGCTACACAGTATCCATCAATATTGCATTTTTGAAATATATTTGATACACACACAATTAAGTTTTTAATTACAGATTGAATAAAAACAATCGGAAAAGAAAGCAAACCTAGCTCTTTGTTCACACGAAAAATGAAACTTCACAAGCATAAAATAGCTTGTTGGCTGTTTCCATCACCCCATGGTGAAGTATAGTATAGTACATTTTTAAAGTCGGATTAATTAGAAACGTATTAAGAGCGCCACTACTTCTTACATTTGGTCATACTTGAATTACGTGATCATTAATTTAAGCGGAAATAAATCAGAGAATTTAATTTCAGCACTATCCGGCAATTTTTCCTTCAATAAATCACTACTTTTAGTTTTTTACTCAAAACGTGTCAATTTTCCAGAAGTAAATTTTGTACACAAAATACATATTTACAAAATGAGATAATGCAACTTGTTACTAGTCATAAAACAACTATTTCATTACAATCTTGTGATTTTCTCAGTTTAAACGCAAAGATGAGAGATGACGCTTGAAAAATAAATCCAGAATAGAATCACTGATATAGGGATATTGACATATAACGTAACCAGGGTTGACAATACACAATTCAAATGGACAGTTTGTTCTTATCGCAAATTGGCTAATTTAACATCTGTGCATAGTTTACGAAGTATATTTTTTAAGATTTCTCAAATGCATCCAAATGTTTTTTACAAATTTACAATAAACCTCAAATGAGTTGGTGAGAATCGGCTAAGCCAAGATACACATCCTGAAACGTCAAAGTACTTTGACCTAAACAGCTAATAAGTAAGTTATAGTTATTTGAGGAAGCAAAGGTCAAAACAATTAATAATGAATAGCATTTTCATACATGATATGGTATATGTTCAGGAAGTTAATTTTTCAACGTCTCGGCTTTACTTCCTCGTACTTAGTTTCATCCGAATCTGACTTGATATCACAAGTCTCGTAGGGATTTATATTTTCATATGTTTTTCTGTTGTTTTCGTCTTTTTTGATTGTCTTCATTGGTTCTTCATAACACGTGGCATCGTTTTCGTAGCTGTATGGGGACTCTGGTTGAATTTGTTTAGAACTTGATGAAGCGACGCTTGATATGAATGTGGTTTCATATGGACTAATAGCGGGAGCATCATGCGTGGCTGATTTTCTTTCTTCGTTTCTGTTCCTCTTTCTAGGTAAATAAATAACTTTGAACTGGGTTGAGTTGAAAATTTAATTCAGAAATTTATTTTTGTAGCTGATCTCGAAATGATGTAGAAACATAAAAGATATATATTATAAAGATATAGTATTCTGTTGAAATTGAATCAAAATATAATATTCTAATAAAAAAATATAAAAATTAAAGGAATATTCAAATGCATACCGTCTAATTATCCAAAAAACTAACAACGCCGCAAGAACTGAGATTCCAATGCAAGTGACAGTAATAGCAATCGTTGTGTTGGTTGCTAAAATAGTATGTAATGAAGATTACAAAATGACAGTATCGGCATTTTATTCAGAATTCTATGCATTATTAGTACTATGAAATAGTATTGAATCTTTGTACCAACGAATAGTTGGTGATGGCACACCGGTTGCGTAACATCTGATAGAATATGGGCTTGTTCCAATGGTGATATCTGTCGGTTGTAGCTGACTTATTGTAGCTTCAGCTGAATTATATATTATAACTAATTATTTTATATATATATATATATAGTATAATAATATATATTATAAATTATACTATTAAAACGAATATGCTATTTTTTACGAAGTCTAATATTGAAATCTTGCAATTAAAGATCAAATCTGGCGTTCATTCATTTCCATTTCAAAAAGGCTACACAATTACTTGTATTTTTGAAATTTATCCTGAGTATACCTTCAATAACGACAGTTATCGATGTTGATATGAAATAGGCATCAAGGTTGGACTCAGGGTCCGCACGGAAAGTATATATAGTTTTCGTGCTGGGATCCGTAAAAGGCCCAAGCTGTATCTCAACATTTGAAACAACATTTCGTTTGGTAGAAATCACATTGTTGAAGTTTGAATTTCTGAAGGCTCGTATCCTCACTGGGCCGTGATTGCTTTGAATATTCAGCGTTACTATGATAGATTCCCCAATGCTCGCAGTGTAATTTTGTTTTGTCGAGGAGCTTGAAATTGGAGCTGCAAATTAATTTTATGTTATTTATAATTTGAATTAAATAATAAAAGTATAAGATTCCATATTTTTATTCCTAGAGAATTAAATACAACGCATTATGCAATTTTTCAAAATTTTATGCCTGTAAAGTAAATTATACAAACAAATGAAAAAACATTTAAGAAAAACGAAATTATTTCAGAAGAAGATTGTTTACTAAGCAATTTAAAATAAAATTGTTTATTACCATTATATATACCTGAGAAATTTATGTAAGTTTTTTAGCAAAACTACCAACTAAACTTGATTATATTAAGCCACGAAAAAATTTATGTGATGTAACGTACAATAGTTCCAAACTGATTTTACCAAACTTACTTGTCTCACAATTATTTCCTGTAAAACCATCCAAACATTTACAACTTCTTTGACACCCAATACTTGCGCAGGTTCCCCAGTAAAGACAAGGAGATGGAGAGCACAAGTCAACGGCTATAAATAATAAATGTGTGAAGTACAAATGTGTGTGAGTTGGTGCACTAAAAAGCGCTTCTCATTTCTACGTCGAAAACTAAAATTATACTTGTGGACCGGCTACAAAATATTGAGATTATCGTAACACTAAATAAGGCAATGTTTTTGATCAAAGTACGAATCTAGAACAAAACATCAACTGACTTCAGAAATTATTTAAAAACCAACGGTAAATTAATTTTCGATTCATTTATATATTCAAATGAGCGGGGAAGGTAAAAAATAATTGAACGCTTTTTGCGTGAGCGTTGTAAATGCTCAGCGATACACGTGAGTTATCATTTTGCGACATTTCGACATTTTCAAAAAAAAAAATCAATTTCGCCAAGTACCAAACATTCATTTATTTCGCGGATTCATAATTAACAATTTCACAATATTTCTTAATCCAAATTAGTATTGCGTGATAGCATAAATTTTATAACAACAAATTTCTTTGTATATCTGTCAGTAAGAAATGTCAATGGCTGCTGACAATTAAATTACTATTAATACCGGATTTGAATACTATTTCAAATACCTACAATCATAGTACAAGTCAATGTTCCCTCTAATTTTTTGTTGTATGTGTGCGCAGAAATTTTGGTGTGTGCGCACTTTTTTGGAAATGACTAATATTTGTGCAAAAACCAAGTAAGAAATAATGGCGTTCTAACCAGGTAATAAGTGGGCAAACAACAAACTTTCTCAACCTGCCAACCGAGCATATTGTTACATTACATCGAAATACGCCTGTGCGCAGTAAATCTATGCGTGTGCGCAGCCTCTGAAAGCTGTAAGCGCGCGCACACGCGCACACCTTAGAGCAGTGTTTCCCAACCTTTTTTGGTCGCGGACTATTTCCACACCAGGGAAAATCTTTGCGGACTCAACGTGCGTTAACTGTAAAACCGAACTCTATAATCCATATTTACAAAATTCAATCGAAACCATAGCGAGGGTGCTCAATCATTGAGACATCGAGAACTGCTCCCTCTGATAAACTCGAAAGATATTATAAGATCACTGGCGACGAGATTCGCTGAGGAAAATTATAGGAAGGAATTTGCAACCAAATAGAATTCACCTAATGGTATTTCATATTCAAATTAATATATCCGCTCGGAAAATTTTGAAATCTTACATTTTTGTTATTTGTATTGGTGATTCAAATTTTACCAAATGGCTCACTGAAAAGATGTGAAATTCATGCGATATTGGCGCACAATAAGATTACTTAAAAATGTAGCAATGATGTTACAGGAAACAAATAGATAAAAAACACAAATATAACTAACACTCAATTATAACGGAAGCGAAAAGTACGTGTAAACTCGTATTTTTGTCAGAAATGTGCGAGTCCGTTGTGAAATCCAATCGTTTGATTCAGCGCGATTGACGTGCTGTGTCCAAGTCACATGTTACCAGGTATTCTAATAGTTTGCTGTTCGAATATTTTGCCCAGCCCTCCTCAGTAATCGGTAATTATTGACACGATTAATATCATGTGAATAAACTTGTCTTTTATGTTTTATGTAAATACTAACGTAAATCGTAACTTGGCTGGTACTTAAGTCTGCTAAAAACGTTTTCGCCCCGCAATGAATTTCGCGACACTGAAAAGGTCAGTGACCTACATTAAATATACAACTACATAACATTCTAATTTGGTCGTTGCGGACTCATTCGAACGCTCTGCGGACTCATTTGAGACCGCGGACTCGTGTTGGGAAACACTGCCTTAGAGGGAACACTGGTACAAGTACTTCTATTTTTAGAGAGTTCGCTGCCATGAAGCAAATCTTCAAACACGCGGAACATTTGGGATTTAGACATACTACGTAGAACATTTGTATATTTGTTTTCGATTATATATATTAAATAGTATAGATATAGAATGAATAGAATTAAAGGAAATATGACATGTTAGTACAAATTTATATATCGTACCCGCTATCTCGCATATGTACCCAGAACTTGCATTGTTCCATTTGGCAAACCATCGCATGATGTTTCTAGCGCGATTCGGCCAAGAACTTAACACCATTGCGCCTGTTTTAGTGGTAGTGTTAAGCCAATATGGCCATTTTGAATCTTTTCCTGTTGTTGGCACAGCTGTACCATCAACCCATATCCATGAATTATTAACTTTGTATCCACCAATCCAAAACTGAATTGTTGGTCCTGTGGCCTCATACTGATTTACTATCTGACTTTCAACCAAGTCTTGTATTTCTGTTGTTTTCATCATTGCCAACGCACCTCCAAGACTGCTACAAGTTGAGTTCGCTTCGGCGAATGATTTTATGTCATAACGGTTGAGGTGATATTTGCAGTTGTTTGCAGTATTGTTGATGAATCTTCTTTCTGCAAAAAATAAAAACATACATATTTTAAGATAAACTTGCAACCCTTCTTTTTTTAAAAGTGTTTTTGTTCGAGTTTGATATATATGATGTTGATGTAAATTTCCACTTTTCGGGATCATATATTCACAGCAAATATATTCCTTTAAATTGAGATTTTGAAATATTTAATTACCAACAAACAATGAATAGTAATTTTTTTCTGTCAAAATATTCATTGATTTTCCTCAATTTGCGGGATTTCTAACAGACTACTCTTTGAAATGCCAGTGGTGAATTGAGAACACCAGATTATATCTACAGTTAAAGATTTAGACGAAGTAGTTATGAAAGTAAGCGTATTACCTCCACAATTATTTCCGATGTAGGCTGGTTGACAGGTACAGTTGTAATATGGGACAGTAACAGAATATACACAACTACCTCCATTCATACATGGCATTGAATCGCATCCATCTGCATTGATGTTATTGAGATAAAACATGGAAACAGTTAAAAATCTCGTGAAACAAGTAGCATTGTTTGAAAAGTAGGGAAGCTGAAATGTTTCTCTTGTTGCTATCGTTAAGGTGTCTTTTGCAGTTGTCGGGACAGATATCTTTCTCCTCATAATGGGAAGAAGCATGAAGAATTTTTTGAGGGGGCATGATTGTCCACATTTCTTTCTTATGTACACGTATTTTAATTAATATTAGTTCTGTTTCGGACAGTTCTTTAAGATTATGTCTCATTTCCAATATGTTTTGGAATATTGTTTTACTAGCGAGTAGCGCTTTAGAGACAGCCACATCGAAAAATAAGCATCGGAGAATATTTCGTGCACTCTTGTTTTACTTGCTTTACAGAAAACCGTGCATTTTTACAACTAAATATTAAAAATTCGGGGCTCCCGAAGTATGCGAACCAAGATGGCGGACATCGGAATGTAATATGTGTACTAGGTTAGGGTTAGGCCATAATTTTAGCTATAAATACTACGGGAGGCTCTTGGCTAGTCTTCGAACTGATAATAGGACTAAAACAAGGAAAATTGGAAAAAAATTATCGCCTAACCCTAACCTGTTACCCATGTTACGTTCCGATGTCCGCCATCTTGGTTCGCATACTTCGGGAGCACCAAAAATTCTTTCAGCTATTTATAATTCAAAAATCATTTCGCGAGTGAATGCTTTTTTTGTACAACTCAACAAAGAGACAGAGGTTCAACTGTGTCCGCTCGATATGTGGAGTAAAATACTCACAGCTCTATGGATTCTTGAAAATTTACAATCAGGTTCACATGCCTTCCATAAACATTGATTTCAGTAAAGTAAATCCAATGAACTTTCACTTTTGTGGGTCAATATTAAATATGCATCGAATATTTTTATAGTATAAAAATTAAAATAAACTCTTGAATATCAGTCAATATACTCATAGATCGGATAATGATTAACAACACAAAATATATGCCAATCAACTACACTCACTCGAAGGGGATTGTCCTTGAATAGAAGTGAAGATTGTAATCCATATCAGTGAGGATAAATACCGCTTGGTAAACCTTTTCAACATCACAAAGAGTTTGTATTTTATTATGTTTGTGCTGTGTATGACGAAACATTAAACGAAATAAAAATTGGTCCTATAAAAGTGTTTGTCACTGTCAAAAATTAAAATAGGAAAATAAGAACAAAGAAGAGTAATTAAATTTAAATATTAACCTAACTATTATGAAGTAGTTTTTCGGACATAACTGTTATTTATTTTGGAATGACAGGAATCTGTGCAATTGCCACAAGGACAGCTAATCTTTATCTAAACTTTATCTCAGAATATCATTAGTTAATCAACATTAACTTGTTAATTAGGATATGAAGTAAACAATTTATTCAAATCGCATAATGAGTTTACTTTCGCAATTCAAACTTATCGTTATAGTTAAGGTTCAATTAAATGTAAGACAATATTTAAATAAGTTACGTATGACTTTGCTAAAAGTCGCTGAATATCTAACTAAGCATATGTAAGATAAATACTCGTTCTAAAATAGAATGTTTTATATTATCAAACAATTTCTTTTTATTGCAGACAAAAACGAACTATAATCTGAATCCAGCGGTTGCTATTTTACTTGAAAGTAAAAAAAAAATCTTCTGTAAATATATTTTTCACTGAGCAATAAATCTGGAACGGATATTTTTTTCTTGTCGTGAACTTGTTGTTCAATACATTATCCCAAATCATATTTACAATCCTCAAATTTCACCTCACTGGTCAAAACTTTATAATTCGAAGATTATTGGGACATCATCACGTTAGTCCCGATCTTTCCGCTTCATTTTACACGATTGTGAACCTCTCGTTTTTGCATCCCCTATCAAACGATTCATTAATAACCAGACTGTTGAAATGGAAACGTGTTTGCAGTCATTGAAATTGATCTACTTATCTACAGTAACTAAACGCAGTTCGTTGAGTCAGTGGTGAATAATACTTTATGTAGTTAGGTCCATTCCTAATCCACACATGAATGGCTATTGAATTACAGTTAGTGCATAATGAACTTTAACTTACCTTGATGACTTTCCGCTTGTGAGATTACACTCGCACAAGTGGCATGTGGTAATGAAG